TATCCCTCCTGTGATATCAATATTTATTTTTTTTCCAATTTTTCATTTTCATTTATTTTTTTCCCTCCTTCAAAAGTTACTTAAATTTCTATTTACTGGTTAGTTTTTCATTCTTTGTTTGACAGATGGGAGGATCAACCTCTAGCTTCACTTGTTTACGACTTTAAAAAAAATAATAAAACCGACAATAGAATGAGAAAAGCAGGATTAATCAGGGGATAAAAAGAGTTAGAGCATATACGAAAATACCATGTATATTCATAACGAAAAGATGAAGATCAAAATTCCTTCCCTTTATCGACGATTCGTGATGTCAAACACAAGGGAGGAAAAGAGAGGAACAACAATTGAACACAAAAGAAAGATTGAGGTTCGGCTTAAGGCTCCAAACTAAGAGCGGAATTTAATACCAAAAGAGTGCAAAGAAGAAGAAAAAGAAAAATAAAAAAAAGAGATAAAAAATAAGTTTTCACAATAACTGAAACGCAAGTCAGAGAAGTTTTTGACCATAAGGTCAGTTAGGAATTGATTTCCAACACATAAGTTTTTTCAACCCGTGTGGAATAGAAGGGAGTGATTGTAAATACATGTAACAGCAAACCAAACACCTTTTTTTGCATGATGAGATCCCTAGGCTCCCAGTAACACTGACAACCAATTTGGGTATATTTTTTTTTTAATCCCCAAAACAAACATCACTCTCTAAAGCACTTTTTATTTTCGTTAATTTCGAGTTTCTAGGTTTATGTTGTTGTGTATTACTTGCTGGTAACAATAACAGTATCTCTGTGGTAAATATTGTAGTACAGAAACAGTATCGACTCTTGTTTATCTCCATATCCTACAGAAACTGCATCGCTGCGTCGCTGTTAAAAGTGGAGAAAAGGAAAGGAACGATGGAGAGGTCGGTAAGGATTTTCACATTTGTAATTGGTATAATCCATGACTTATCTCTGTTTTATCAAAAGTCTACATCACACTCATCTATATCTATAATATGCACGGCCCACTTTTGCTTGACGATAACTACACAGATGATAATAACGGAGGGCTAATTGAATTTAGAGATGGCAAGTAATCTAATCTAAACTGTACTAAAAGGAAAAAAAAGAAAACAATTCTAGAAAAGTATACTAAGATATGCAGTTTAAATTTTTTTAAGGGTTTGCTCATCACCTTTTCTGCACCCTCACCTTCAATATCTTTTTCTGACTTCATTTCTCTTTTCATTGTTCCTTTTTCGTTTTTGGACAAAATCAGTGATCACTCCGTGTGGGTTTGATAGCAGTGCAAAGATAGAGACAGAAAAACCAACATTACCAATATGACAAGATTATCTATCAAGATTACTGAAATCAGAGGATATTGGTGGAATCAAAGTTCTGAGCGTGTGTCTAATAAAGATTTGCCCAAATTACAGATAATTGATATGTAATGTATAGTGATGTGATTTAATTTGCAGATGCATGAGTGCATATCTTCTCTTGTTGTTTTTTGTTCATTTTTTTTTTTTTAGTCTCTCCTCCTGCTATGTAAGATTTATCAGTGCAAAATGACTGCAATGCAAAGTGTTAAAGGATCTCACTCACAATAAAAAAAAGTGAAACCGCAGCATATTTACCTTATTGCTACCTTGAAACTTGTATAAAGTCCTGCTTTCCCATGAAATCAGCACCAATCAAAAAAGCAGAAAACAATTACTTACTGTTTCTTGACATGCTCTCCTCCTTCTTCCCCCCTTTGTTTATAATAGGAAAAACAGTGAACACTATCTTTTTTTTTTTTTAGTTGCCGTTTCTTTGCTCTCCTCTTCAACGATGTAGGTACTCGGTTAAAAATGTCAAGAATGTCTTGCCAAGACGCCCACCACATCTTCTTTCTCGCAAACTACCACTTTGCCTTTTCTCTTCTCTTTCAATTACGATATGAAATTGTGTTGCCAAGCTGTCAAGTTGCTGAGTTGTCAAGTGGTTGAATTGTTAATTTTGCCATGGTAGGTAGACTGTCGCTATTACGGATAGACAATTGGTAGCGGTTCGTATAGGAGAGGCGCTTGAATAAAATAAAAAAAGTTGTAAATATTGTAAATGTTTGTGTAACGATATGGCTAAAGTGTGGATATTGCTTTGTGTGACTTTACCCTTTTTGCAAATCTGTGCTTGCTGCAAAAAAAAGCCCCAAAATTTGAGTGTTTGTGTCTCTGTATCTTAAGGGTGCGAAAGCAAACAGTAAGATAAAAAATAAATATAGAATTAGATACTTCTTACTTCTAGTTATTGTGTAACATATACAAACTTATATCAAACTACTACAAACAACACTGACACATACTCCTCATTTCTATTTCCCTCACCTTCTATCCCTCTAACTCCCTTTCCGTTTACGTTGAATCGTAAGGGAGAAACTTTTGGAAAACGCCAAATACATACTTTTGTCCAAAAAAAAATTCAAGAAAAGCTAAAGAGAGAACAAAAAGGGCTGGATTATAAATAGTACAAGGAAAGCATTGATATTTTTTTGTTTTTGCTAGCCTTTTATTACAAATTGTAACTGAACATAGCAAGACATACTGTTTAACTGTTCCTATTGCAATTGAAAAGAAAAAATAAAAAGCAAACTTGCTCCACCAATTATAACCTTCCTTTCTCCTTTCCTTTCTGCCTTTGAATTCATTTCACAAGTTTATAGAGACTTGCATTCCTCGGCCTACAATTAGCAAAGTTATAATTTTTTACAAGAGTGTTTTCAACCAACCACCTAAACACGTCCATATACATATAAGCACTTGATTTATTTTAGTAGTCAAGTATCATAACCATCTGCATTGAAGGGTCCCCTTTTTTTTTTCTTGATATAATTTATTATTACATACTTTTTTGTCAAATTTACTTTTTCCACCCTATAACACTCGCTGCTTCTGCGAGATTCCACTTCCACATTCACACAGTATATACACCATAGGTCACATATACTACACACACACACACACACACACACACACACACACACACACACACACACACGCACCTAAACACGTCTTTCCTCGGCCTGATTGCTATACTAAAATTTCATAAAAAAATTTTTTTTTATTGTTTGAAAGATAGCAAGATATAAATTATAGAGTGCATTATAATCAAGAAGATTATTGATTATACCACATTCACCAACCAATCTTCTTTGACCGATTTCAATACTCGATCTTCACGGTTTGATTTCCACAACGGTCTTTCTTAAAAGAAGAAGAAGAAGAGAAAGGAAAAACAGTTTAGTAGATCAACAACTAACCTCCGTTTTTTATTTCTATTTTTTTTGTTGCAAAAGAATTTCACTTGGTAACAAACGTTTGGCTTTAGGACTTGGAGCTTGATATATCCTTTCCAAGGCTTCTACCAACATTCGTTTGAAGCGAAGATAGAAGAATATAAAGATATTTTCCTTCTTTTTCAGGTGTGGAAAATATATATGTGCTATCAAGAAAAAATCAGGTTACATTAATAATAATTTGAGATTTTCTGTGTAGCTTGCAAAAATAACTTGGAACAAACAAACAAACAAACAAAAAAAGGACCAAAGGAATAACTAAACTTTGGCAGCACGGATTCAAAGCAAAGCAAAGATTAAAAGTCTGAGTAAATCAATTTGAACCATTCAAAGAGAACAAGAACAATAGAGGAAAAGCAGGCAGGGTTTTTTTTTTTAATTAAAATCTGAGACTTGCCAATATATTCCTCCTTTCAACACAGTCAATTTTTCTATTTTTTTTATTTTTTTTTTTTTTTTTTTTTAACTTTGTCATTTTCATTACACATCAATTTGCTACGTCTCATATACTTCAACCTTTCTTTCTGCAGAAACAGTTATTTGGAGCAACTTGATTGAAGGTAAAATTCAGGATTAAAAAAGCAAAACAAAAGAACAAAGAACAGAGGAACGGAGAACAAAGAGTCATAAAAGTCCAAAAAAATAAAGAAAAACGAATTAAACAAAATAGAGAGATTTTATCAGAAACCTGGTCAATTTTCTATATATTTTAAAACATTATACACTTATTTCATATCGCACTTACGTTGAATCATTGGCAATTCTCCACACAGCCCACCACCCTCACAAATACTTTTCAAAACCCCACTACTGAAATTCAAATCGATTCAAGAAAACAACTTGAGTCAAAAAAAAAACATTAAAATCCATTTTTAAGGTTTTACAATATTTTTGTACACAAGGTTGTTTGTTTTTTTTTGTTTTTCCCACAAAGAAAAAAATAGGTTGAAAGCTGTCAAATTTAATTATTATTACTATAATTGAATAATCACAAATAGGTTCTTTCTCCCCCCTCTAAAAAAAAAAAAATCTTAAACTGCTGGATCACACACACCTATCCTATTAATATTTAGGGATAATTGAAAAATCTAATCGTTAGAAGTGAGATTTTTACAAACACATCCCTCATCCATTCATCCATCAAAGAAAACATTTCGGTTGAGTTAATACCTTATCGGGACTTTTTTTTTCCCTCCCCCCCCACCAAGGCAATAATCCAAATACGTGAAATCGTACGTATCCGCCGCCTCAATTCGCCTCGTTTCACCTCGTTTCGTAAAGTCAATACGGCACACTTTTTTTGGCCTTCCATCACAGCTTGTGGAGCGGAATAAAAGCAAGATTTATTTTTCCATATTTTCCATATGCATTGATTATTTTTTTTTGTTTCACTGACAGATCTAAGAAGAACAGAAAAAAAAAAAAAAAAGAAAAAGTATCACTAAACGGAATTTAATTTTAGATTAGATTTTTTTTTTTTCTTTTAGTTTTAGAGGCACATATCCGCACTTCATAGTATACTCAATTGGGTGCATACATTTTAAGACATAGGATCAATAGGACTGTTTGAATTACAGGCAATATTTATATCAGTTGAAAGTTCACTCAAGTTCTTGGTATCCGTATTCAAACAAACATAGGCATCTTACTAGTCCAAGTTTCCCTTGCTTTAAATATCAATGCATCAGCAAGCCTCATTGAAATCACCGTTACTGTTGAATTTTCAAACCTCACAAATATTAGGTAAACCAGACTTTAAGGATTCTTTGTTGTCTGCATTATCTAAAGTAGCTACTGCTGAAATGGAGAACAATAAAACAATGTTTGCAAGAAAGAGGTCAATTTCAACCGATTCCGAAACGGATGATGAGACTAGTAGTACTCGTGCTACAAATAGCACTACTGCAATCACCTCTAAGATAACCAACCCCCATACCGCTACTGTTGGCGGTACTGCTGCTACTGCTGCTGCTACTAACCAAGTTAAAGAGTCAAATGGCAATAGCAATAAACCTCAAATCACTTTTATCCACAGATTATACAATATGTTACACGACGATTCAATTAAACATTTGATATGGTGGCATGAAAATGAAGAACATTTCCATATAAATGCCACTGAGGAATTCACTAACATTTTGCCAAAATACTTTAAACACAGTAATGAGCAATCTTTTATCAGACAATTGAACATGTATGGGTTTCATAAGATTAGTAATGAAACTAGTGATAAAAAGGAAACACAGGCACCGCTGCTGCTGCTGCTGCTGCTGCTGTTACTGCTGCTGCTGCCACTGCTGCCTTTACTGGTGAAGAATTCAAAACGATGGGAGTTCCGTCATAGTCAAGGACAATTTAGAAAAGGTGCGTATGACTTGTTAAATTCGGTTAAGAGAAGAAGTACAAAGAATTTGAATTTGCAGAGAGAAGTTGTAAATTTAAGGTCTATTCCAATGGAAAGCTGCAGTCCATCCTTAAATGGAACAGTAGGATCCTGTTCTGGTATGCTCACTCCTACTACTGAAAAAGCTCAACCTCATATGCTTACCCCAAAGAGTATCGAAATGTCTGCATCTTCATCATCATGTTTCTTGTCGAGGCCACCAATACCACCACCACCACAACAACAACAACCACTGCTGAAACTTTATACAACTGTTGCTAATAATCTTCCTGTACAAGTGGGAACTCCATTGAATGCAATGCCAACAATTTTGCAACCACAGCAACAATCACCACCACTACCACTACCATCATTACAGCAGCAGCAGCAGCAACAACAACAACAACAACAACAATCATTACCACCACCACCACCGCCACAACAACAACAACAACAACAACAACAACAAATGGGTAGTTATACTCTCCCTCAACCACCATCTCAAGAACAGCTGCACCTTCAACAACATCTACAACCACCTGCATTACAAGCAAGACCCTCATTTTCAAGAAACTATGTTTTCAAACCTCCTATGACGTCCATTCCTCAATCAGTCGCTACGATACCAGATGATGATTCAACTACAAAGGACTCTTTAAAAGCTGAATTATCACAACTCAGAGAAATGTACAATTCACTTTCTTGCGATCATCAACAACTCCAAAACACTTTTATGGCTATGTTGGACATACTTGAAGAGGAAGGAACATCATCTTCATCACCGGAGATAATCACCAAGAAGCTTAGGCAGTTCAAACAGTCATTTTTGGCGAACAGACAAAACATGAGCATGAGCACGCCAAGCTCTCCTCAGTCTCGGTTGTCCCATGTACAACTACAGCCACAACCACACTTGCAAGCTCATATATATCCTTTTCCAAGAAGGTTTTCCTCCGAACACTACAATCATCAACAACAACAACAACAACACCAACAGCAGCAGCAGCAGTTTTTTGCAATGAGGGCTGATTCAACATGTAGCCCATTAAACACCAGTCATATGAAAAACAATAGCAATGCCGGTTCATTGGTTTCGAGTAGAACATCTTCTTTAGCTTCATTGTATGATAGTGGAAAGAAGATTACCTCGGGAAGTGGTATCAATTTAAATACAGGATCTAGTGCTGCTTCCACATCTAGATTGCCTAGTGTTTTTGAGTTAGATTTGAGCTTGAATTTGAAAAGATTACCTCCAGTTGACCACTCTGAGCACCTTCAACATCAACAGCCATACTTGAAGAGAATCAAATTGGTATAAAATGCGCTTAGCTGATTATCTTGTGTTTTTCTATGTGAGAAGTTTTTTGCAATTGTCCTTTTTTTTTTTTTTTTTTTTGCAATTGTTTTGTTATTTTGCAACTTGTTGCTAATATTTGTTTTTTCTTTTTTCAACCTTCATTTTGACTTTACTATTGCTTTCAATTTTTCAAATCATTTTACGAGTTGTGTTTAATTTTTATACAAAAACAGTATAATATTTATATATAAACATATACATATATATATATAATTTCTATAATCAACTGCATGAGATAGACCGATTCAATGGGTTGATATACTCTTGCTCTAATTCATCCTTAACATAGACAATATAGTAAGGTGTAGCGGTATTACCTTCTAAGAAATTGAACACTTCCGATTCTGAAACTTCACTTACTATTTCATCATTGTATTTTCTAAATATGCTCTTATTTTGAGGATCTTTTATATATATCCAATAATGGCCGTAGCTTGCCTCACCACGGTGAATGAAAATGGCAAAAATGGAATATCCAATTTGGTTGTAATTTTCAAATTGCTTAGATATCGCTTCTTGTAATTGAGAAACCCTATCATCTATTTCAACTAATTGGTTTTGCAATTTACTAATCTGATCGGAAATCGTTTGTATTGTGGTTAATTTGATACACAAATGATCATCCCCAATAACTTTCGTTTCAAGAAATTTCTTAGTAGTGATTAAGCTATCGATTATTGTCATATTAGTCTCCTCGTCAATACGGAATATTTCATTCTTTCTCATTAACAATTCATTAATCTCCTTTTTCCACTGAAACACTTCATTCCGCTTCTTTAAAATTACTTCATCATCAGTGTCCAAATATCGATCAAGGTAAATCTTGTCACTAAACGGAATGGGTTCAATGCTTTTGTACGCCATAAGTTTTTCTCGATCAAACATTACTCTTTGAACATGGAACTGCATGATTTGAGGTAATTTGCTAATTGTAATGGATTTCTTAACAAGTCCTTCTTCTAAATTGACAATGTCCTCATTAAAGTAATTATCTAATGAATCGTAAATACTTTTGGGGTGATCACTGACATTAATTATAAGACTGTTGAATCGCTCAATAGAAACTCGACCTTTAGTGTTGGAATCGTCATTTAGTGGCTGAATCGTTTGTTTTGTTTTGCCATAAAATAACTTCTTTATTAAATCGTATTGTTCTCCGTCGTCGTCTAATGAGGTAGGTGGTAACGCAGACTCGATTTGAAATATCACATTTTCAATACATTCAGTAACATCTTGTTGTCTTCCAAGCTCAATTGTACTTTCCATTTCATCGGTAGATATAGGAAGGATCCGTGGCTCCGCATCGAAGGCAGCAGCCTCACTCGAGCCCGGAGTCTCGATTTCCTCTTCAATCTCAACTCCATCCGCATCGTGTAATACAACTTCCTCGTTAGTAGTATTTTCTTTTCCTGAAATAGAATCTTTAGCCTGTGTGTCACCGATTTTGATAGCTTCCCCCAAATCCAGATCCAGATCCAAATCCAAATCCAGATCCAAATCCAAATCCAAATCCAAACCCAAATTTTGATTTTGATTTTGATTTTGATTTTGATTTTGATTTTGATTTTGATTTTGATTTTGATTTTGATTTTGATTTTGATCTTGATCTTGATTTTTCTTCTCTTCCTTCACGTCGTCCACTGTAGTGTTCTTAAATGTAACAGGCATGGATAGTGGCAAAAATGACAAATATGCTAACTCCTTACTTGGTTGAACACACCTCTTCTCCGTGTGGATCATCTCCTCGAACAATTTCTTCAAATGATATATAAACTGATTAGATCGGCGTATCTCCAGAAGTTCAACTTTCCTACCACCAATCTTCCTGCTCGCTGAAAACTCATCAAGATTGAAATCCTTTTCATTGAAAGTAAGCACTAAATCTCTTAATGGTTTTATGCAGAAATAGTACTGTAATAACGAATTCAAATAACACGTGTTCCCAATATTGTCCAATCCAGCTGGCCAATTCTCGGCAGGCAATAAGGAAGAATCAATTTTCCCAGTTTGTAAGAACTTCAAAAGAATCTCCGAGTTTTTGAAATCAACAATCATTTTCAAAGCATATCGTAATACCCTGATATCCACTTGACTTTGTAATAGTTTATTTTGAAACTTGGAAATAATCTCAAATTCTGACGTTTTGACTGTGGAGTCCAATAATCGATAGCATTCACCAATTGCCATGTTTGCTGTTTCTGGAGTGCTAACGTATTCAGGAAGTTTCGTTTCTAAATAATGCAACAAGGAAAAACTCCTTCTATTTATGGCCACTGATGTGATCGCCTTGTTGAGCATTATCACCTCATTAGCTAAGTTGTTGAATCCATTTTGCTGTAGTATGTCATCTGCCTTGAACTCGTAAGCTGTAATAACAACTTCGTCCTCGGTAATTTCCTCAATTTCAAGTTCTGCTAGGGCAAAGTCCATAGGTAAAATCTCCTCCGCCAAAAATTTCTTAAGTTTACCTGATTCCTTGGCAAGAGCAACGATTCGTAATTGATTGTTGTAATACTGATAATTTCTTGGATCATTTTGGAATTGTTTGCGATACATTGAAATAATAACATCATCATCAATCAGTCGCACGTCTGTAGAATCATCATAAACGACACCCAAAACCCGCAACGACTCAAGAAACTCCCTGTACCCAATCGATTCTCCCAGTTGCGACAATTTCCTGAAATATGCTGCCAACTTCATGCCATGGCCGCTAGCAGATTGAAAATTCTTGATATCTTTCAATGCGTCAACATATACTAGTTTATTTGAAGGGTCGGACTCAACTGTATGTTGAAAACACTTGATCAATAGCTCATCTTGGAAATATGCAGCGGCACTCAAAGAAATGAAAAATGCATGTTTATTGGAATAGTTGCTGTTGAAATTTATAATACTGGCATTCTTATCAAACTCGCTTATATTCAGGAAAACTTGAGCCATGTTGTTTGAAAAAGAATACAAAGTCTTAAACATGTTCTTATCAACTCTCAAATTCCATGCATGGTATATCAACTCAACAACTTTTCGAAGATATGACTCTTTTAACGCTGGCGATTCACTTAAATTAGGGGGAACAACTTCATACTTCTCTTCAATTAAGGTGAATAAAAGATTATCAAGGAGTAGATTGATGTCAATGTGCGCATCCAACGAGGTGTTTAGACTAATCACTTTTGTCGGGTTCTCTCCTAACAATATTGGGCCTTTTAAAACTTTTAATAACATCCTAATACACTGAAGGCTGTTGGGGACTAAAAGAGGGTCTAAATCCGGATGACGGGCAATGCTACTGAGATATCTGGTTTGGATTATATCTTTGTTGGTGATATTTTCCAAATCTTGCGTAGAAAATTCAGATTCAAATAAAGTTACCCTTAGAAGATGATTACTTAGTGAGTTCAAACTCTTGAAATATGCATCATCAATAATTTGAGCTTGCTCGAGTGGATATTTCCGCAATAGATTTAAGTCGCTTTGTGAAACTAGTGATTCAGGAATGACATGATACTGATGCTTATCGATTACTTTGACAATAAAGGGATTTCCAGTATCTTCTAAAACCAGTATTCTAAAGTGATAAGTTTTGAGCTCTTTGCTGTTCACTACTACCAAACCTCTAATGATTGTTATGCATTGTTTTGTTTCTTGATTCTCTACTTTCTCCACAGAAGGACAATAATCTATATGTTCATTTAAAATTAATGTCTCATAGCTCGATAAAGCTGAGGTTACAAGTTGAGTCAAGCTTTCTGAATATTCTATGGGTCTACTGTTCAATAAGCTAATAAGCTTGTTGTCGTATCTCTGTTTCGCTGCAACCGTCCATTTCAAATCGTCAAGTATTCTATTTAAAGTCTTGAATGGATATCGTATTAGCTCTTCATTTGAAACTCTTGTTTTTGAGCCGCCACTAGTACCACCACCAGTACCACCACCAGTACTATCTAGCCCATCTTGCGAACTTGACAAAGGTTGCTTTTCTATTTCCAAAAGGTCTTCATTCAAATTTCCTCGTTGCTGTAATTGCGGAGATAAATTAGATAAACTACCTCGGAAAGGATTTCGGCTCAGTAATTGAGACTGACTTGATGAACACTGGATTGAACTCGAACTTGTCGACTCGACAAGTTGACACGATGTTTTTTTCTCTGAATCCGACGTGGTTAGCAGCTCTGTATTGGATGGCAAAGGCTCAACAACTGGATCTTCAACAAACATCTATAAAACCAAACCCAAAAAAAAAAAAAAATGCTCTACTGTTTCAACTCTACTCTTCAACAAGTGGTATTAGCCAATGTTGATTCAATGCTGTTCGTTCAATCTGTTGTTATCAGTGCAAGTGAAGAGTCGTGATGAGGAACCAGCAACAAAACCACTGGTACTTTTGCAATTAAATCAACTTAATTAATCCGCCGCAGTTCCACAAGACAAACAGAAAAAAAAAAAAGATGGTTTGTAAAAGATTGTTGATCTTTGTTCTCGTTCTCGTTGTCCTTCTCGTTGTCGTTGTCATTGTCGTGCTCGCTCGATTGGTGGTTCGTTGATTTTTCTTTTTTCTATTGCTTCCTTGTATAAGCGCACTGAGAAAGTTTTTATTGTACGAGATCAGCCTAGAAGACCACCCCAGGAGACCCCAGGAGACCACCCCAGGAGACCACCCCAGAAGCTAGCACCAGAAGCTAGCACCAGAAACTAGCACCAGAAACTAGCACCAGAAGCTTTTATTTCACGAGACTAGTCCAGAAGCTAGCACCAGAAGCTTTTATTGCACGAGACCAGCCCAGAAGACCAGCCCAGAAGACCAGCCCAGAGGCTAGCACCAGAAGTTTTTATACAATTCAATGGCGCAGACACCAACATCGGTGGATTTTGAAAAAATACGAAACTCCTCCGATGGGAGCTTTTCGGGGATGTTATACCTGGGGTTCAATGAGATTATACTGAACAATCCGTATTTTGCTGCAGGTGGCGGTTTGATGGTTTTAGGCACGGGACTAGCATTGGCCAAACAAGGTATTACCAAGAGTTCGGGGTTCCTTTATCGACAAATGTTGGTGGATTTAGAGATCCCTTCAAAGGACAAATCGTACCTTTGGTTTTTAGAGTGGATGTCGAGACATAAGCAGCGAAGTTCGCGACATTTATCTGTTGAGACTAACGTGATAACTCACGATAATGGGTCTATATCTACAAACTTTTCACTTGTTCCTGGTCCCGGAAAGCATCTTATTAGATACAAAGGGGCCTATATGCTTGTTAACCGTGAAAGGTCGGGGAAAATGTTGGATATGACTAATGGAACTCCATTTGAAACCGTTACTTTAACGACTCTTTATCGCGATCGCAAATTGTTTAGTGATCTACTATCGGATGCGAAAAATCTAGCAATAAAAGCAAGAGAGGGAAAAACTGTGATTTTCACTTCTTGGGGACCCGAATGGAGACCTTTTGGTCAGCCTAAATCGAAAAGATTATTGGGTTCAGTGATACTTGATGATGGTATTGCTGAGAGTGTAGAGAAGGACGTTAAGGATTTTTTGTCGAGCGGAGAATGGTATCATCAAAGAGGTATACCTTATAGAAGAGGCTATTTGCTTTATGGGCCACCTGGAAGCGGCAAGACGTCATTTATACAAGCATTAGCAGGAGAACTAGACTATAACATCTGCATACTCAATTTATCGGAAAACAATTTAACAGACGATAGACTAAACCATTTAATGAACAATATTCCGAGCCGATCTATACTTTTACTTGAAGACGTTGATGCTGCATTCAACAAAAGAGAGCAGTCAAATGAGCAAGGATTCACAAGCGGTGTTACATTCTCGGGCTTATTGAATGCTTTGGACGGTGTAGCCAGTGCAGAGGAGTGTATCACATTTATGACAACGAACCATCCCGAACGGTTAGACCCGGCATTGTTGAGGCCGGGAAGAGTCGATTTCAAAGTATTGATTGATAATGCCACCGAGTACCAAGTTAAAAAGATGTTTCTCCGATTCTACGAAAATGAAGAAAAATTATGTCAAGAGTTTTTACACAAGTTTAGATTATTGAACTTGCAACACGTTAGTACTGCTCAATTACAGGGATTGTTTGTGTATAATAAAAGGGACCCGCAAGCTGCTGTCGACATGATAGAGACACTACAAAATCCAAACACCGTATTTTAATGAGGAAACGACTAAAAGAAGAGGAGCATACTACCAACACTAAGAAGCAGCGACACTACACCTACTAGCTTGTTACACTATAGACTACTCCTCTACACTATAGACTACTGTCTCTACACTATAGACTACTCTCTCTACATTATAGACTACTTTCTCTACACTATCTCGCTTCGCTCGATAGTGTTGGTGCTCGTTAGTGGAACCAAGGCTCTGGCTTATTTCTCCGCCTTTTCTTTTCTAAAGCGCTACCGACCGTTATATTCCGATTCCGCTTTATAATTTTTTCCACTAAAACCTTCAGCAAGTTTATAAAGATTATTACATCAACAAGCATTCACTCGTTCTTACCTCTCAAAAACCTTGTTTCCCGCGGTATTCCTCTTCTTTTTCTGGTTGACGTTAATACAGAATATTTTTTGGCACAACGAGTTCCTATTTTTTTTTTAGGGGGGCGGCTCACAACAATTTTGCATCATCATGAGGTTCTTAGCTGTATGCTCTGTGATAGCTTGCTTTTCCCTAGTGAGCTCGCTTCAAGTACAAAACACAGACCATTTTGAGAAAATCTTGACTAGAATTAAAGGAAAAGGATGGTTTAATGACAGGTTCGAGGTGAATCTCGATCTGGGGTCTACTATATTTGCGCTGGACACGAGTGTCGTCGATACTGATAAAGGTGATAAGGAATGTCCTCCTTGTTTCAATTGCAACCTCCCAAATTTCGAGTGTACTCAATTTTCCCAGTGTAATACATTTACAGGAATGTGCGAGTGTCAGCCTGGGTTCGGTGGTCTAGACTGCTCAGAGCCGTTATGCGGCTCGCTAGCTGATGGAAACAACAAGAGACCAAAGAGAGACAAGAAGAAAGAATGTAAATGTAAACCTGGCTGGATGGGCATCAATTGCAATCTATGTGAGCGAGACGATGTTTGTGACGCATTTATGCCCGAGGGAGTCAAAGGAACTTGCTACCAAGAGGGGATTCTTATTAATAACTTTCATCAAATGTGTGATGTTACCAACCCAAAAATTGTGGAAATCCTTGCAGGAAAGAAACCACAAGCTACATTTGCATGTAATAGGACTCTGGAAAATTGCAATTTTCAGTTTTGGATTGATCAACAGGAGTCCTTTTATTGTGATTTAAATAAATGTGTTTTGGACTATGATTTATCCAAGAATACGACTCATTATAAATGTGACAATGTGGCATGTAAGTGTTTACCTGATCGTATGTTATGTGGCCAAGATGGATCAATTGATATTTCAGAGTTTTTAACAGAGACCATTAAAGGCCCCGGTGATTTTGTTTGTGATATTGCAGATAAAAAATGTAGATTTTCAGAACCTAGTATGAATGAATTGATTCAGAGTGTATTTGGAGATCCATACATCACTTTGCTGTGTGCTGCTGGTGAATGTGTCCACAAGAGCGAAATTCCCGGGTACAATTTACCTAATGATCCAAAACTTACTTTGGGAAATATATTTCTGATTATTGGTGTCTTGTTTATTTGTATATTATTCGTGGCAACAGTATTGAGGAATGTAAATGAGTCGGCTTTGTTTAAAAAGAGTGGCAACGGTTACGAATCACTTCCAACTGATGCTAGTGTTATGAACCAGAACTTTGAACCAGCTACCTTATCATTTGAAAACATCAGCTATACCGTTGGGGAGAACAATCGAGTATTGAATAACGCTTTTGGACTCGTGAACCCAAGAGAGTGTTTGGCTATCATGGGTGGATCAGGGGCAGGTAAGACCACGTTGTTGGATATCTTGGCTGGTAAAAATAAAGACGGGAAAATCGCCGGTTCCATTTATGTCAATGGTAATGTCGTTGATCCTAAATACTATAAAGAAATTGTTGGGTTTGTTGACCAGGAAGATCACTTGATCCCAACATTAACTGTTTACGAAACGGTATTGAATAGTGCATTATTGAGACTCCCGAGAAGTATGACGTTTGAACAGAAACAAACTAGGGTGGTGGAAGTACTTAATGAATTGAGAATATTGGGCATTAAGGACAGAGTCATTGGGTCAAATTTCAAAAGAGGAATCTCTGGTGGAGAAAAGAGAAGAGTTTCAATTGCGTGCGAATTGGTTACTTCTCCCTCCATTTTGTTCTTGGATGAACCTACTTCAGGATTAGATTCATATAATGCAAGAAACGTTGTGGAATGTTTAGTCAAATTATCCAGAGATTACGATAGAACGATTGTTTTCACTATCCATCAACCTAGAAGTAACATTGTATCATTATTTGATAAATTATTATTGTTGAGTGATGGAGATTTGATATTTTCCGGGGAGATGATTAAAGCTAATGATTTTTTTACCAAGAATGGATACAAGTGTCCATTAGGTTACAACATTGCTGATTATTTGATTGATATAACCGTTGATCATAACAAAATAATAAAAGTATCCAATGCCGATGCAGCTGTTGTGGCTGCTGCGTCCTCGACCGATTTCCATGACGAATCAGACATACATGCCCAATTTGTAGCACAAAGAAGTCCCAGCCAGGAGGATACTACAAGAGAATGGGAACACTTTGCTGTGCATCGTGACGAATACAATACCGATATTATTGGCCGTCGTAGGACGGCTTCGGGAGAAGAAGAAACTTTACTAAGATTGAGGAATAAATTACACACATTGTTTGTGGAATCCCCATTAGCTGGAGAGTTGAAGCACGAAATAAAAGAAGGTAAAAATCATCCCAAACTGCTAGATTTGAAACCGCGCGATTTTAAAAAGGCAACCTTTTTTGGACAAGCTGGTATACTTGCATCAAGGACTTTTAAAAACCTTTACAGAAATCCAAGATTGCTATTAGCTCACTATTTATTATCTATGCTTGTTGGGTTATTCACTGGTTATCTCTATTATGATGTGAAGAATGATATTAGTGGATTCCAAAATAGATTAGGATTTTTTTTCTTCCTTTTGGCATTTTTCGGGTTTTCATCGTTGACTGGATTACATTCATTTGCAACTGAAAGGATTATATTTGTTCGAGAACGTGCTAATAATTATTATAGCCCCTTGGCCTATTATGTCAGTAAAATATTTTGCGATATTATCCCCTTGAGAGTATTACCGCCCATTTTGTTGATTAGCATTGCTTACCCGATGGTTGGTTTATCAATGCAGCATAACGCATTTTTGAAATCGATCCTCGTGTTGGTGTTTTTCAATGTTGCTGTTGCCGTGGAGATGTTGATTGTTGGAATCTTGGTTAAAGAGCCGGGTACATCTACAATGATTGGTGTTTTATTACTATTATTATCTCTATTGTTTGCAGGTTTATTCATCAATAGCGATGATTTGACAGCTCAAATCAAATGGCTTGAGTGGATTTCGTTGTTCCATTACGCATACGAAGCATTAGCCATCAATGAAGTTAAAGATTTGATCTTGAGAGAAAAGAAGTATGGCTTGTCAATTGAGGTTCCAGGTGCTGTGATTCTTAGTACTTTTGGTTTCAATGTTGGTGCTTTCTGGAAAGATATCAATTTGTTGGGTGTTTTGTCATTGACATTCTTGGTTTTGGGATATCTTTTCCTACACTACTTCACCATTGAAAAACGATAAATATACAAATAAACAAATGGAAATATGATTAGGGATTTCAACAAGAAGAAAGAAAGAAAGAAAGAAAGAAAGAAAAAAAACGGCTTCTCAATTGGGGTTTTTCCTTTTTTATTTTTCAAATTTACTTTCCAAATTTCATTATCTGATTAAATATTAGTATCTTTAAGCTCTCTGTGTCCAAGTTCTTTTTTTCAATATCAAAATCAAACTCCTCAATTGGTATAGGCAGCGTTTGTGGTTCATCTAAAGGATCATGATAATTTGCCAAATATGGATGTTTTAACGCCTCCTTGGCAGTCAATCGTTTGCTTGGATTAAATACTAGTAACTTTTCCAATAAATCAACTGACAAAGGGTTCACGATGGCTGCTGCTTCTTGATGTCTCAAGATCCGAGACGGGTGATTTATAATAAATTTGGTAAAGTCCAACTTTTTGATCACTGGAAGCGAGCAGATGAATTGTTTAGCTCTACTGGATTTGATAGTCTCCAAATCTTCTTCACTCGGCGTGCCCAAAACTTTAAATATTAGTTTCAACTGATTTATATAATCAGATCCAGGAAAAATAGCCTTGTATGTTAATAATTCAAACAATATACAGCCAACTGACCACATATCTATTGCGGTTGAGTAATCCGAGGCAGAAAGCATTATTTCAGGAGCTCTATACCATCTAGTTGCAACGTATTCTGTAAGCAAAGAAATTTTCTTACTCTTGACATTAGCAGAATCTAATCTAGCTAAACCAAAATCGCAAATTTTTAAATCACAGTTTTCATTCACTAAAATATTCGATGGTTTTAAATCACGGTGAATGACACTGGCACTATGTATTAGTTTCAAACCTTTAAGAATTTGATAGATGAAATACTGAATATGTCGATCACTCAAACAATGAGTCTGGATAATGTTATGTAAATCACTAGGCATGTACTCTTGAATCAAATAAACTTCGTTGAAAGCAGCATAACTGCTAGGTTTTTGAACATCGTATAGTTTGACTATATTCTCATTGTTTTTGAATTTATTGAGAAGTTTGATTTCACGAAGAGTGCGTAAACAGAATAATGGTCTTTCAAATGGTTCAATCTTTTTAATTGCAACTTTAGTGTTTGTTGGTAGATGGATCGCTAGGGCAACTATTCCATAAGCCCCTTCACCTAATACCCTGATAACTTTGAAACTCTGCGAAATGTTAAATACAACTTTTCTCAGAGATAGTTGTGGTTGCTTCTTCTGTTGTTTGATCTTGGATACAACTGTGGTAGTTGACATACTCGATGATGAACAAAAAGAAAACGGCCATCTACCATCCAAGATAAAGGGCGATTACCATCTGAATATATATGCGACAGATCTGGTTAACGCTAAACCACCTTTCTCTAACGTTTACCCTTTACCCTTCAATAGCCCTTCTTTTCCACCAATACACACTCCCAACATTTGGGACCCCAATCTGCCACCATGAGTTAAACTTCTTTTTAGTCAGCTCTTTTGATTTGTATCAGCTTCAAAGGTACATATCTTGAAACACCGACAACCCATGAAACTTGAGTCATTTTTTCTATTCACATTGATAACCTGTCCTTTCACCATTGCCCCCTTAAGCTTTAGACTAGTCTAAAGCACCAACAAAAAAAAAAAGAAAACCTCTTGCTCTTTGTACAACCGAAACCTGGTTTCGAACACTGAACTTGATATTTCGTTCTCACCCACATACAGTAAAAACAACATCTTCAACCAAAACTGGCAAAACTAAAAATAAAACTGAAACATTTTTAGTATCTGATGCTATAGCAAGTTGCACCATGAAAAAAAATGTTTCAACAACACTATCGAGCGAAGCGAGATAGTGGAGCACTGACTAGTGTCATAAACCCGAGCCCACTAACTTGAGCCCACTAACCCGAGCCCACTAACTTGAGCCCACTAACTTGAGCCCACTAACTTGAGCCCACTAACCCGAGCCCACTAACTTGAGCCCACTAACCCGAGCCCACTAACTTGAGCCCACTAACTTGAGCCCACTAACTTGAGCCCACTAACCCGAGCCCACTAACTTGAGCCCACTAACCCGAGCCCACTAACTTGAGCCCACTAACTCGAGCCCACTAACTTGAGCACTGACTAGTATCACTATCTCGCTTTGCTTGATAGCATCAGTAGTGCAGTGGTTTTTAGTTTTTGAAAAGGCATGTAGTTGAAATAGCCATTGTAAGCAAAATAAAGTTTATTATAGTTAGATCTTGATTTTGTGATTATAGTACTGGTACACATCTACAATGCCCCACTATCACACTTTGCTCGATAGTAGGTCCTCTATCACACTTTGGTTTATTCAATCTGTTTATTCTCTTTTCTGGTTACACACGTGTTTGCTCTAATTAGCAAGCTTATCCATCCATCATAACTCCACTCATTGGCAATGCCCTCTCCCCCAGTAAGGACAATTATTACCTATAACAAGTATTGAAGTGTTCCTCCACTATCGAGCAGAGCGAGATAGTAGCGGTGGCAGCTACAAAGTGTTGCTCCACTATCGAGCAGAGCGAGATAGTGAGATAGTATCAGTGACAGCTACAAAGTGTTGCTCCACTATCTCGCTATGCTCAATAATGTCGGATAGTGGGATAGTGTCGGTAAAACAAAAAGATTTGTATGTTTTCTAGCCCTAATTATAGGAAAGGGTAGGATGAGACTATATAAAGAGGTCACTATTCCCCATAGGAAGAGAAGAAGACAAGATTTTTCATCACTACACATTACCGATCCAATATATATATATATATATTGTTTGGGTCCGTTTAGTCAACTTTAAACTCTTTCCTCTATGGTCAACACTTGTTATCTTTTTGGAAAGAGTGACTGGCTTTAGTGACTGGCTTTAGTGACTGGCTTTAGCGACTGGCTTTAGTGACTGGCTTTGCGCAGTCTACGCTGTCTCAACCCCCATCAGCTAAAAGTAGTGAAAGAAAAAGTTGAATTTTCGCGATGCCCTGAAAAATTTCATCGCATGGGCATCGCATCGCATCGCATCTCGCTTTTAACAAGAAGGCTCTTTTATATTTGATTGCATGCCAATTAGACTGTTCTCGATTGGAGCCAACACGTCAATATTTAAGATGCCAAAGAGGACATTCAAAAAGAAGCATGCCAAAGGTAAAGGCTTTGATAAGAGACAAAGCAAGAATTCTCAAGAAAGTTGGTCTGATGCACCAAGAGAAAACGAAGTATGGGAAACCTATTACAAAACCATGAATATTATACCTCAAAGTGAATGGGACGACTTCAAAAAAGCATGCCAGTCAAATTTACCAATGACGTTCAGGATTACGGGGAATAGGAAGCATGCGGAGGAAATACGTAATATTTTTCTCAATAGACATGTAAGCAAACTTGAAGGTCAAACTTTTGAAGGAATTGATATAACTCCCAAAAACATCGAGTTTTATCCTGATAAATTGGGATGGCAAATTGATGTTAGCAAGCAAGTTATTAAAAAACAAAAGGATTTTGCCAAAACTCAACGATTTCTCGTGTTGGAGACCGAGGTGGGGAATATCAGTCGACAAGAAGCGGTGTCTATGATCCCACCTTTGCTCCTAAAAGTGAAGCCAGAGCACTACGTATTGGACATGTGTGCTGCTCCCGGGTCCAAAACGGCACAGTTAGTTGAAGCGTTGCACGCCAATGACGAAACAGCCTTACCTACTGGGTTTGTTTTAGCCAATGACTCTGATTACAAAAGAAGTCATATGTTGGTGCATCAAGTAAAGAGATTAAACTCGCCGAATTTCTTGGTAGTTAACCACGACGCTCAATTATTCCCACGTATACATTTGAACGGACGTCGCGAACACTTGAAATTCGATAGAATTTTGTGTGATGTTCCATGCTCGGGTGATGGTACAATGAGAAAAAATATCAATGTCTGGAGAGATTTTAGAGTTGGGAATGCTCTTGGTTTGCATCCTTTACAATTCAATATCTTGAATCGTGGAATACAGTTGTTGAAGCCAGGTGGGAGACTTGTTTATTCTACGTGCTCCTTGTCTCCAATTGAGAATGAGGCCGTTGTTGCAGAGGCTTTGAGAAAATGGGGGAAGAAAGTCAAGCTTGTTGACGTTGATCAAGAATTGCCTGGGTTGAAAAGATGCAAGGGATTAACTGACTGGAAAGTTTTTGGTAAGGATATGGAAATTAAAGAAAGGGGCCAAACTGAACTACCAAACTCAATGTTCCCCCCAACTGAAGATGAGATTAAGGAATTTCATTTGGAGAATTGTGTAAGAGTTTACCCTCATTTGCAAAATACCGGAGGCTTTTTTATTACTGTTTTTGAAAAAGTTGACCACGAGTCAAACAAAAGAGGGGGCGAGGAACTGGAGTTTGATGTCGAAAGTGGATCAAAAAGGCAAAAAACAACCCAGAATGATTTGGAAACTGCAGAGTCAACTCCCCAACCCAACACCGCCTCAACGGCAACCACAACAACAGAGGAACAGCCAATATACAAAAAACAAAAGCTTCCAAGAGATGCAAATGAAGAACCATTCATATTTCTCAGTCCAGATAATCCAAAGTTAGCTGAATGCTTCCCATTCTATGATTTCTCGAGTTCATTTAATAGAGATTGTACACTCGTTCGAAATGCCACTGGAGAACCATTGAGAACCGTATATTACACATCTCCAATGATTAAGGAAATACTTACAATTAAAGATCAAAAATTGAAATTGGTTCACGGTGGTATCAAATTATTTGTGGCGCAAAGAAGCGACATTGGCACTTGTCCATGGAGGATACAAACCGAAGCCTTGCATACGGTTGAGCATTTTATTGGTGACAAAAGACGTTTGAGATGCAACTTAAAATTGTTGGAGTACTTATTTACTAATGGATTTCCTAAAATCGAAGAAGTTCGGGAATCAGGTATAGATTCTGAATTCTCCAAGAATTTGGATACCAAGGAAGAAGGTTGTTTATTCTTGGAAGTTGAACGTAGAGGTGAAGGTTTAGAAAACTTGTTTTTACCTATATGGAAAGGGAAAAGCAATATAAATCTCATGGTTAGTAAAAAAGATACACATGAGTTACTCTCTAGAGTTTTTGATATTGAAACCTCCGCCAAAGATGCTGGCAAGGAGTTTGCTCATCAACAAAAGGTAGAAGCGGCCAAGAAGGCAAGAGAAGAAGCTGATAGTAAAGGGGGTCAAGACTCTGCAGAGAATGAAGTAGAAGATGAGATAGTTGAGAAAGCTACCCTTGCTGGAGCAGAGAACGAAGTAGAAGATGAGATAGTTGAGAAAGCTACCCTTGCTGGAGCAGAGAATTAGAAAATAAAAATAAAGGAGAGAATCTATTATTTGGGTCGGGTGCTGCTGTGTAAGTGTTCTCTCTCTATTTCCACTGTCTCTTTTCACCTAATTAGATTATTCAGACATTTGAACCTCGTCATTTTCATCTAGTGTTCCTCCATCGCCATTTTCATCTAGTGTTCCTCCATCGCCATTTTCATCTGGTGTTCCTTCATCGCCATTTTCATCTAGTGTTCCCTCATCGCCATTTTCATCTGGTGTTCCTTCATCGCCAATTTCGTCTTCCTCTATCTCCTGCGCAAAGCTCTTTTTCTCTACCACCTCTTGTAAAAACATTTTGCAGACATCTTCAGTTACCAATTCATCAACCCAACTCTCTACCAACATGCCCATTGCTAGTAGCGATGTCTCGTTCATACACTCGACATATTTGCTTCTTTCAGGCTCAACATCTATATCCTTTAAATATTTTCTAGAAACAAAGTAATGAATATTCTTCAACAAATCCGAACAAGGTAGTAGACTATTCCCGTCTTTGTCCTTGGGATCAACAATTGGGATCTTTAGTAAACCAGTTTTCAACATCTCTAAAATTTCGTCAGGCGGGACAGTTCTCCCCTTTTGCACAACTACCTTGTCAAAATCATCGGCTTCTTTATCAACGATAATATTCAACCCTCGCGAATGAGAAATAATCTTGTGTGTGGTTCGGTTGTCAGCGACATACTTTTTGTCAATTTGTTGATTCTCCCGGTACTCTCCATTGCACGCGCTATATACGTTGGTGAAAGGTAGTAGCTTCGACTGGGCCAAGTTCATCGGTGCTATGAGAGATGAACCTGGTGAGAGAGATGAGAGAGATGAGAGAGATGAGATGAGATGAGATGAGAGATGAGAGATGAGATGAGCTTTGCGATAACGGAACGGAAAAAACAAAAACCACAAAGTGAAAAAAAAAAAACACACAACATAGGAAATAGAAAGAAAACAAACGGAGGGTGAGTTTAATAAGACCAGAGTAGAGGCATTTCTTACCAGTTGTTGAGACCTAGATAGTGAGGAATGGTAGACCAGAGTTTAATAGATCTGCATTACGAGCGGCGAGAGGAAATACAACGGCTACTACAGGAAGATGAGAGGAGAAAGAATATTATTGTAACTGCCATACTACGATTGATGATTACAAAACAAAACAGTCAAATACAGGATAAACCCCCATCTGAGGGTGATAACAACAAGAACAAGTATGGTGACGATGTTGACGCTAGGAATGATCTTGAAATACAGTTGAACAAGTTGAAACAAGAGCATTCAACCAAACTGAAGTTGACCGATGCCAAGTTACACGCGTTGAAGCAAGAAAATGAACGATTAAGAGCACAAATCAAGAAGCTAAATAGTGGTGGCAAAAATAATGACCATACTACCAAAACGAAGACGAGTATTTTCAGTACCAGTAGACGAATAATGCTGAACCAAAAATCTATATTCACGCCGGATAAGTTCAAGTCGTCGGCTTTTGGCGTCACCACCTCGATGTTTTCCCAGTCATTCCCCACAATTTTTAATGATGATTTAATGACTCCCGTGAAAAAGCCAAGCTTAAAAGCAACCAAAAGCCTAATTGAGTTTTCACCATCACAAGACCATAAGAAGCAAATGGAAGATATCCCTTTGATTTTACCCAAATTGAGGGGTGGGTCCTTCAATGCAGCTTCATCGCCTATCAGCGCCAAAACTTCACGAACTCCGTCCAAATTTATTGAGAATTTCGATGATGATGATGATGACAATAATAATAATAATAATAATAACAACAAGAGCGGTGGTGTTGGATCAAAGTCGGTGTCGCGGAGCCCGTCTCCTGATTTTACTCCTAACCGAAAATCACGAATATTGAGAAGTGCAAATTCCACAATAACTGAGATTAAGCCTCAAGAAACTGAAACTGCTGTTGAAGACAATGACAAGTCAATTGGGGAGGAAACTAAGACTAAGATGGTTAGGAAGAAAACCACCACCAACAATAACAGCAATAACAGTAATAATAATAATAACAATAACAACAACAACAACAACAACAACAACAACAAGAATGATACTAATTATTATAATAATAGCACTGTCACTACCACCACTGAATACGGGCTTGCCTTTGAGTGTGGCGGTGATGTTGATGAGGAAGAAGACTTGAATACGCTTGCAAAGTATGAAGACGCAAACTTTGAAGAAGATGCCAGCGACAGCAACACCACTGTGGTTGTGATGAAGAAAAAGAAGAAAAAGAGTTTAGAAGGTTCCGAGATTGTGTGGGAATCTGAACCGCCAAAAAAGCGCAGAAACGTTTTCACCATTGATTGAACAATAATATTTACAAAAAGAAAAGACAAGAATACCATATTACAGTGAACACTCTGTCCCTTACTGTAGCCTGTAGCTTGTACCTCTAGTTCTAATACCTCTAGTTCTAATACCTCTAGTTCTAATACCTCTAGTTCTAATACCTCTAGTTCTAATACCTCTAGTTCTAATACCTCTAGTTCTAATACCTCTAGTTCTAATACCTCTGGTCTAGTCTTTAGCAAGCGACACTAGCGAGCTGGTGGAGCAGGAGTGACTATCGAGTGGGACACTAGCGAGTGGATCAGTAGATGTAGAGAGTGGATCAGTAGATGTAGAGAGTGGATCAGTAGATGTAGAGAGTGGATCAGTAGATGTAGAGAGTGGATCAGTAGATGTAGAGAGTGGATCAGTAGATGTAGAGAGTGGATCAGTAGATGTAGAGAGTAGCGACACTAGCTCGCTTCGCTCCCTACTTTGCTCCCTACTTTGCTCCCTACTTTGCTCCCTACTTTGCTCCCTACTTTGCTCCCTACTTTGCTCCCTACTTTGCTCCCTACTTTGCTCCCTACTTTGCTCTCTAGTGGAGCAGTAGCCAGTACTTTGGCCCAGTCTCCTGTCCAACCTCCATCTTGAAACTGTTTTCCTTTGGAAAAAAAAACAAAGAAAAAAAAAATTTATTTTGGCGAAAGCGCTCAGTGAAATATCAGATATCATTTGATGGCAAATTTCTTGAGAGTGAATATCATAGAGCGCCATTTTTTGTGACTGAGATCCCCCCCAACCCCCTGCCTCTTTGTCTCGTTTTTATAGAGGATTCGCGATGATGAGAGCCAGCAAGAACTATAGAGGAGTTTTCTGTTTGCGAAAAATTCCTAGATCAGCCCTATATTGTGAGACTCCTCCCCTTTTATTCCAAGCCAGACATGCATCAACAGCAGCTTCGAACGTTGGTGGTACGTCATTAGAGTCCCTTTCACCATTGATAAATCAGCTTCCAAAGTTGTCCAACTCATTTCCGTTTATATCTCGGGAAAACAAGTGGGATACTCAAGATCTGTTGGTTTATTTTAATTCCCCGCCAAAGGAAGATATAAATGCCGAGGACAAATTGATTTCCAAAGATAAACTGAGGGAAGGTAGAAAAGAGGATGAAAATGAAATTGAAAAGGGGAAGAAGGAGAAGGAGAAGGAGAAGGAGAAGGAGAAGGAGGTAGACACGGAAACGGAAACGGAAACGGTGACGGAGACGGAGACGGAGACTGTAGATAAGAAGTCTACAGATTCCAAGGTTAGCATTGATCCAAATTCACCGATTTCAAGCAGAGGCTTGGGATCTTCCAATAATAATAGCAGCCGTAGCGGTAGCAGCCGTAGCGGTAGCAATAACAGCAATAACAGCAATAACAGCAATGGTAATGACAGTAATGATGGTAATGATACGCGTTTGGTAAATACAAATACTGGTTTGTACACACCATTTTTAGCTATTCCAATGAAAGATCGTCCGTGTTTGCCAGGAAGATACTGTACTATATCGGTTGATGATCCCGAAGTTATCAGATGCCTACAAGAAATGTTGGAGACAAAAGAGACTTATCTTGTACTCTTCCACGTTCGAGATCCAAATGACGAAGATACAGATATCATCAAGGACAAAAATTTTGTTCATGAAGTTGGAACTTTATGTCAAATAGCAAAGGTAACACCACTTAACTCTACTCGTGTAAATATATTAGCGTACCCTCACAAAAGGGTCAGGTTGGTTGACTTGAGCACACCAAAAGTTAAAAGTAAAAATATCGAAGAACAAAAGGACTTCCCAACTGCGTACCTCAAAAAGTATGGAGTTTCATACGCTGCTGTGCAACCAATTGAAGATGAACCTTTTGACAAGAACAGTGTTGAGATTAAAGCGCTAGTCGAAAGGGTGAAAACCTTGTGTGGCGGGTTTTCCCCAAACCCCTTGGCAGTTACAAATGGGGCCAAGATTTTGAACAATCCTTCGATGTTGGCAGATTATATTGGTGGCTCTGTTTCTGGAGATCCGAAAGAAATACAAGAAATCTTGGACAGCTTGGACGTGAAGACCAGATTAGAGAAAACTTTGAAGTTATTGAAAGTAGAGGCTGATGCTGATGAAATGAAACGTAAAGCGCATATGAGCATGAGAGAGAGAACCGAGAAACAGTATGCCCAAATGTTGATTAAGGAGTATAGCAAAGAGCTACTTAAAGCCGCCGGTATTGGTGAGAACTCGAAAGGTAGCAAATTCGATGAACGAATCAAACACTTGAAAATGCCCGAAGAAGCTTTGGAGGCTTATCGCACAGAGAGAGCAAGATTGGGTTCTCAAAGCGATGTCGAACTGAATGTAGTTGAGCGATATCTTGACTGGCTTACATCTATTCCTTTTGGTGTATATTCAAAGGACACGTTTAATGTGAAAAAGGCAAGGGAAATCTTGAATCGTGATCATTATGCTTTGAAGGATGTTAAGGAGAGGATATTGGAGTTTATATCAGTTGGTAAAGTTTCCGGAAATGTAAGTGGTAAAATTTTGTGTCTTGTGGGACCTCCAGGTACTGGTAAGACATCCATTGCCAGATCAATAGCGGAATCTTTGAATAGAAAATATGTTAGGATTGCCGTTGGTGGTGTTCAAGATGTCCATGATGTCAAGGGACATCGTAGGACCTATGTGTCTTCCCTTCCAGGTCGCATTATATCCGCATTGACGCAGGCCAAGACATCTAATCCATTAATGTTGATTGATGAAATTGATAAGTTGGATACCACGACACATGGTGGTGCTGCAAGAGCATTTTTAGAGATTTTAGATCCAGAGCAAAATCATGGTTTTGTTGATAACTTTATTGAAGTCAAAGTTGATTTGTCAAAGGTTTTGTTTGTTTGTACTGCCAATTATCTTGGTTCGATTCCTGAACCATTGAGAGACCGTATGGAGATCATTGAGGTTAACGGGTACACTAAGCATGAGAAAATTGAAATTGCCCTTAGACATTTGATTCCTAATGCTAGCAAGAAAGTTGGGTTAAAAGAAGGAATAGTTGATATTCCGAAAGAAACCATTTCTAGGCTAATTGATAAATATTGCCGTGAAAGTGGAATGAGACATGCTAAAACATTGATAAATAGGATCTTTAGTAAGGCTTCGATGAAAATAGTTGAAGAAGTTGAAGAAGTTGAAGAAGTTGAAGAAAAAAGTTTGGATGGAAAAGCAAAAGAGATTACTGCTACTGATGCTGATGCTGATGCTGATGCTGATGCTGATGCTGTTCTGAAGACTACTGTGGAACCCGTCACATCTAGTACGTCACCAATAAGTGATGCTGATGTGAAAAACAATGTATCAGCTTCTGAAAAGACTAATAAGGAAACCACATCAAGTACAGAAGAGAAAGCAGCGGAGAAGCCTGGTAAAGAGGAGAAGGTAGAAAAAGAAGAAAAAGAAGGAGAAGAAGAAATCGCAAAACTAATTTTACCCGATGATCTCAAGATTGAGGTAACTCCAGAAAATCTTAAAGATTTTGTAGGACCAGAGATTTACACAAAAGACAGAATCTATGAAAAATTGAATCCTGGTGTTGCTACTGGGTTAGCATATAACACCTCAGGTGATGGTGATGCGTTGTACATTGAATCTATACTAACTGATGCTATCAGTTCTGATCTTGGTAACACTGGTATTGATATCACTGGTTCCTTAAAGGATGTTATGAAAGAATCTGCGTCTATTGCCTACTCTGTTGCCAAACAGTGTATGGCGCAAAGATTTCCCGAAAACAAATTTTTCGAAGCTGCACATATACACGTTCATTGTCCAAGTGGTGCTATTCCAAAAGACGGTCCTTCTGCTGGTATAGCCTTTGTCTCGTCGTTAATATCATTGGCTTTGAATAAGCTGTTGCCTAACGATACCGCCATGACTGGTGAAATCACTTTGACCGGTAGGGTTTTGGCTATTGGCGGATTGAGAGAAAAGACATTAGGTGCAAAACGTGCTGGCTATACCAAGATCATATTCCCCAAAGATTGTGAATACCAATTGGAGGAGATTCCTGAAGAAGTTAAGGAGGGCATTACATATATCCCCGTTGAGTGGTATGATGAAGTATTTGAAAACTTGTTCGATGTAAGCAAAGAAGAAGGTAATGTTGTGTGGCAGAAAGAATTTGCAAAATTGGAAGAAAAGAAAAAAGCAAGGAAACAGTGAGTTTTTTGAAAAGGCTTTAATTGTATATATATTACTTTGTATGTGTATGTGTTTGTGTGTTGTGTGACATTCACAGTATTAGTGACGCTTTGTGATGAATCATTGCTGTTTTTATAATAGATATGATAACTATTCTTTCTTCCTTTCACCTTAGTTAACTTTTTTGTCGTCTTCGTTAATCTTGCCGAAAAAGTTCTTAACCTCTTCCTCGGTGACAACCTTCCCTTGCTCTGCAAAGGGTTTGAAAAAATTTCGTAATTTCTCTCTCATTTTATCATATCCTTGTATGGTTTCAATTGTTTGACTACGAGGTAAGGAATGTATAGCGTCAGCTGTACACATATCCAAGAATGAGACTGTTGTTGACCACTCTTCTTCCGATTTGTCTACTGGAGGTTGATATACAGGATCCTCATTGTAAAGATATTCATTACTATCAAAGAACTGCTTGAGTTTTGAGCTTGGCTCTAGTGATGGTAGTGCTTTTTTCAACTTGTTTTTGAAATCATTTGCTAGAAAGATTGAAAAGGACTCACCTTGTTTCCCCTTTTCTTCCTGGTTTTCTAGCTTCACTTTTTTTGGTTTTGGTTCATTTACATTTTGAGAAAGCTTATACCAATCTTCAACAGTTTGTACCCCTTCGAAACGCGGCAATTTTTGTATTATAACACCCGGAATTTGCTTTTCAAGTTCATTGAATACATCTGAAAATTTCGCAACACAATTCCAGCATATAAATTGATCAAAACTGGATAGTATTGGGAAATATTTTAGCTTTTCAATCATTTCTTGATCATCAATATCTATTTCATCATTCTCCTTTAATTCATCTTGCTCTTTGGTTTTGTCTATTCCATCTTTTTCCTCTAGTTGAGCTTGCTCCTTTGTATTGTCAATTTTTTCCTTTAAATGTTCAACATTGTTTTTAGAATTCTGGCCCACGCCAACAGTGCGGGCATCATGCTCAGCATCAAATCCCGGCAGTGACAACTTATCCAACATGTTTTCTCCATTTTCTGGGTTATTTACTTTAGTAGGTTTTGTAAATGTGTCGGGAGCAAACCCCATTATACACCGATCGTGAAACCAATCTTCTCCACAAAAAAATCCGAAATAACATTGTAGCATATTCCCTGTTTCCTCCAAGGGGTTGTAAAACAGTTTGCACCCACAAAATTTTCCGTAAAAATTCTGGTTATAGATATTGGTGCTGCTTGGTATATCCTCGGCTGGTAACGTAACGTTACTTGAATGGCGGCTTCTTGAGCTGCTGCCGACGCCGCTTCGTATTGGAGTCGTTGCTAATGATTTCGAGTCATTATGTTTTGCTTTTCTTCTCAACTTGCATGCGCCATCAAAAGTTTTGGCCATTTTAGTAGTTCCACAATCACATACAAATGCTCTCTTTGTGAAAAGTTCAACCAACTCGTGTTGAGAATGGCAATGGATTGAACATGAGTAGCATACACCAATAGGAGTCTCGTCATTCTGTTTGGAACATGTCAAGCAAGCATAAACGGATTGTCTCAATTCCCCCATTTCGTATGTACACTCATCAGGATCATAAGGCATAATCTCTCTGGCTTCCTTACCCAACTCCATTTGTTGGTTTATGTAATCAACAGCCGTTATCGAATCCCGGCTCTTGGTTTCTAACTCTTTACTACTCATCTTTTGGTCCTAGTTGCACTTTTTTACTCTAACCTGATTACAAAAGCAAAGAATTCAAAGTAGAGATGGTGAAAGAGGAAAACAAAAATTGTCGCGTTGATAAATTTCAATTAGTCTCAACACAACAAACCCACTTCTCTATATATCATACACATTAAACTTTACAACTTGCTCAACACAACCAATTGGTCCCTACAAGATGCAACCAGCTCCCTTTAAAAAAAAAAAAAGAAAAGTAACCAACTCTTTTTACAAATTACAAGTATAGCAACAATTCAGAATCGTAGTTGTAGCCACCTCGTGTGGAATACAACGGACTTTTCAAGAGAAGACAACAGAAACTAGAAGTTTGGTATTCTTCTATAATCTCAAGGTTGGCATTCTTGCCTCTTTTTTTTGTTTATTTGATTTTTTGATTTTTTCCGACACATCAAATAATTTACATTTAGTTAAGCATTCTATGCAAAGGAAAAGATATTAGTATCCTTCTCATAATCAGTATCCATTTCCCATAATCAGTACCCTGTAGCTTGTTACAACACCCTGTAGCTTGTTACAGCACTATCTCGCTCTGCCCAATAGTGTTTAAGGGCATTCTACTCAATTGAGGTAATTTCCTTGACAATTTCATCGTAACCCTCTCTATATTCCTCGACTTTATCAGCATTCTTCTTCGTCTTTCCTCCGCCCGGCACGATCATAACACACGATGTAGGTCTCTTTGTGGCCCCCGCACTTCCCAAATCTTCTTTTGAAGGTACAAATATGTAGGACACCGAGTTATCCTCGCATAAAACAGGTATATGTGAAATAACATCTGCGGGACTTATATCTCCTGCAATAACAACGAGCCCCTTTTCTCCCTTTCTCAAGGCCTTGACAACCTCTTTAACTCCTCTTTTAACATGTTTCGCTTTAGAAGCTTTCTTTATCGTTTTCAATATTTTCTTGTTCAATTTTTTCGATGCTAATGGTTTGGCAAATGGTAACTGCGCAGACATTCTCTTCTCATAGTTGTCCTCTACTACTGCCGTTTCCTCCAGTTTTGACTTGCTCTCTTTGACCTTGCCTTCTTTCTTACTGCTGCCCATTTTACCTGTGACTTCGTTATACTTATTAAAGCTATAATGCTAGTGCTGGGGTAATCTCATCTTGAAAAATTTCTGCTATAAAAAAGCGATGAGGCCCTTTCTTCTTTTGGACACTTGGTAGCGATTGCGATCATAGCACAAGGAGCTTTTCTTTCTCAGTCTCATTCACAAGTAACAGTCAACCAGTTTGTCTCATTCACAACCATTTCGTCCACACACGGGTTTGCCTTTTAGTGATTCCAGTTTCATCTGAAATGGCGCCTCCATATGACTCCAAATTGTCGAGAAAGAGAAAGGGAAATTATGAAAAGCCATCGTCTTCGTTAGCCTCCTCCTCCTCCTCCTCCTCCTCCTCCTCTTCAACGCATGCTTCACCTTCCTCAAACGCGATTCAGTTATTGTTAACTGACGAGTCAGGTCAACAAAAATCAACAAAGACATCTGTTGACGAGCTAAAAGTTCGAAATTATTTGAGCAAGATGGAGCCGAGACTATATATTTCCAAGGACCTGAAAACGGTTCAGTTGACTACAATTTTGAGCAATTCAGAAGCAAGTGCGCTAGACCCACAATTCACGAAAAAGCTAATAGAGAACTTTCATATCGACCATGTAAATATATCTGACCCTATTCCTGGTTGTATTGACTCATTGGTTACATTTTATGGAACTTTTATCAGCATAGCTAAAGCAGTGACATACGTGGTGTATGAGCTAAATGCTAAAATAAACAACCTACAAGATGAAGTGTTCACTTTAAAATCGACAAACTATAAAGCCCATTTCCTCCTTCATAGTGCCGCAAAAGTCCATGGGTTAAGGTATTTTGATATGGCTCCTAACCACTCCTTTGAATTCAACAACAAAGTTTTTGATGTATTTGTACAGGGTGATTTTCATGCAATATTCAACTTTGCTCTACAAAGTCTAGAGTGTGGATGGAATGTCGATAGCAGCAAAATAAAACTCGAACCATTATTTGGTATACATCTCGACCCCGCGTTGAAATCACGAGATCCAGAAAATGTTATGTTGAAAAGAAAATCAAACGACAGATTGTTGAAATATTTATATTCTACTCTGAAATTTCAAAACCTAATAAACTTGTGAAAAATTAAAAAACAAGGATAGAGAGAGCATGCCAGCTTTTAATTTTCACACACGAACTAGTGCGGTGTTTTTACCCTTTTTAGATATTGAAGCAACTCTATCTCCCAAACTTAAAGCCAAACCTTGTCCCTTTGATCTTATTCTAACATGGCCAATTATAGGACCGTCATTCTGTTTCTCTATACACAAATTGGCCAAAGCATCTTCACCAAAAGTAGATCTGGAATACAAATTGGCAGATAAAAACTGACATTCTTCACCAATAACTGCACCTGGTGTCAAGCATTTCATATTTGTACCATTCATTAATTCCCTGAGGTAATTGTTCAATGAGTCAATCGGTGATTTGATTGTAATCTTGTTCTCCCATTCAAACTCATTCCACATCTTGCGGAACTGGCTCTCTGAACATGTTGCTGGTTTGATGTAATCCATTATATCGACATGGACATCATTCAAGATAACAATTGTTGAATCGTCTGAATGTTGACCGTCATAAACAATATTACCAAAGATAACACCCGTGTCGGCTGAAGTCACCTTGATTGTAGTTTGAACCTTATAAAATCCATGAGGGCCAATGTTTGCAGTTGTGGGTTTATCAACAACCTTCAAATCTCCCAAAGTGGCAAATTCAACAGACAAGTTGCGCAAAGTTGAAGTTGTTTGATTCACCAAAAGTACATCCAACACCACATCATACTGGTGTACTTTGACAAATGCCTCGGCATATATTGGATCCGAAAACCCAGTCAATTGTAAAATCTTGTTCAATTTGGAAGACAAGTTCTCCTTCTTTATATTAGAGCCTGACGCCGATGCTATATCGTCAATTTCCTTTGCGCCAGCTTTGCCGTCTTTGTCAAGTTGTCTGAAAACAATCGAATCATCGACTTGTTCTGCATTGCTTACTAAATCTTTAGCCTCTGCTTCTGTTTTCTTTAATTGAGCTTTGTGGATTTGCTCTCTGAAAGCATCTTTGGTATCATCAAGGAAACTGGAGGTGATGCTGCTTGCATCCTCCTCGTCATTTAGTATCTTAATATAAGATATAATTCTATCGGCTGAATCCTCGTCAATTTTCTTAGTAGCCAATGTGCTTTCACCTAATCTTACAATAGAAACCATGATCAACAATGCCTCAGCTTTTAGAGCATTCAAAATCCTCTCTTGAGTCTTTAGTTCCTGTAATCTAAGAGTCAATTTAACCAAGGTAGATGACAATACAGCTCCAAGATAGAAATCACCAGCAAGTAACTGTTTTCTAATTGGTGGTTTGCTATCACTGTCTCCACCGTTAACAATTTCTGTTGTCAAAGCAGTCTCGGTCGCATAAGTTCCATCTGGCAACACAACTGGTCCTTTCTTCTTGTGTTCTTCACCATTACTGCCTTCTTCGGTTTCCCGAGATGGCTCCTTAGCTCTTAATTCACTAGTAACAATTGGTACCTCACCTATACTTGCTCTAATGTGTTTCCAAGCATCCTGAATCAATGGCTCATCGAGGGCATACTCTCCAATCACCCAAAGAGCGCCTCTAAACACTTTCCCGCTCCTTATGTTAGGTATTACTGAAATCAATCTCCTAAGGATAGCATCTCTTAACTCGGGATATTTCTCAACAACTTCCTTAACGAATGTTATCACTTCATATGCAGCGGTCGAATTCAAATCTGCAATGGAATCTAATAGCAAATCAATCACATTTGCTGCAACCTCCACGAATTTAACAGCTAACTGGTGTATGGCGTTGATCAACAACTGTCTATACTCTGCGTTCTTATCATCATTGGATGAGCTCGTAGCTTGAAGTTCCTTCTTTAATAACTTAACAACATCTTCAACATTTCTTGAACTAATAAACTGTAAAGTGACATCTAAAGCTTTCTTTCTAACGTCCAAGTCTTGTGAGGATAATACTCTCAAGATTTCCAAAGATAAATCTTGTAAAACGCCTGGATGTTCTTTGTTCAACTCGTTGATTCTGTCCAACGTTATAATCTTTACATTATTATCAGACTCCTTAGTAGCCAATTCGACAAACTTGTTAGCAGCTAAAAGAATCGATGAAGGGTTCAAAGTCAAAACAGTCAAAGCATTTGCAGCTTCATACATCACGACATTTGAAGAACTTTCAAGGATTTCTGTAATTAATTGCGTATACTGCTGTTTCAAATTGGAGTTGTTCAAAGAGTCTTTCTTGATAAATTCAATAAATGCCAATTGCAATAATGGGTCCAATGTTTCAATAACACTAATATTATCCTGAATATACTGTAACGCGGCATTTCTATTCAAATCACCGAGACAAACAAATGCATTTCTCTTGCACACAGAGTCATTCTCGTCATACAAGAATCTATAGATCAATTCATCGGCATCGGGACACAAGTGATCACTAACTTTATAAATCGACCATAATGCAAAAACAGCATTCTTGCGGACATAAGCATGTCTGTGCTCCAAACATTGGCGAACATTAGGAACCAAAGTTTCCAACAACTCGGCTTCTTTCAATTTAGTCAAGTATCTCAACGTGTTACCTCTAATGTACTCGTTTGGATGCTGTAAATCACGTTGAATAGCATTACATACAAGAATCATTTCATGTCTCATTTTGCCCTTCTCGTCCAATTTAGGACACACTTCCCAATAGTGGTATAACAATTTCTTCAATTCCTTGTTTTTTGACGGCATAACGAACCTTATAATGTGCATCAATAGCTCAGGCATAGCATCTCCATTCAAAATAGTAATCAAAATCTTTTTCATTGTATCAACCTTAACTTCATCTTTGCCCTTTTCCAACAAGGTCTTGAACTCATTGATAGATGTTCTACTAGCCGCATTGGGCTCGTAGATCAACGTGTACCCACTATCATTCATCATCTCCCAACAATTATGGCCCACTTATGAATAGTATACCGTTCCTTTACGAATCGTGATACTTGAAAAACTCAATGTTTTACGTGGTTCAAAAGAGAAAAGAGAAAAATGAAAAATGAAAAAAATCAAAGTGAGAAACATATGGTAGCGAGAGCGACACCAGCAAGTGGCATCACTAGCGAGTGGTGCGAGCTAGTGGTGCAGTAGAGTAGCGACACTAGTAGCGACACTAGCGAGTGGGGCGAGCTAGTGGTGCAGTAGAGAAGCGAATGGCGACACTAGGGAGTGGAGCGAGCTAGTGGTGCATTAGAGAAGCAAGTGGCATCACTAGCGAGTGGCATCACTAGATAGTGGTGCAGTAGCGAGTGGTGCGAGCTAGTGGTGCAGTAGAGTAGCGAGCTAGTGGTGCAGTAAAGAAGCGAGCTAGTGGTGCAGTAGAGTAGCGACACTAGTAGCGACACTAGCGAGTGGAGCGAGCTAGTGGTGCATTAGAGAAGCAAGTGGCATCACTAGCGAGTGGCATCACTAGATAGTGGTGCAGTAGCGAGTGGTGCGAGCTAGTGGTGCAGTAGAGTAGCGAGCTAGTGGTGCAGTAGAGTAGCGAGCTAGTGGTGCAGTAGAGTAGCGACACTAGCTCGCTCCACTCGCTAGTGATGCAGTAGCGGCACTAGTAGAGTAGCATATGGTAGCATATTTATGGGAGAGAAAAAATAAATTCGTTAATGTTAATCTGAATCACTATTGTCATCGGGGTTAGCCAAAACCAATTTGGGCTTTTCTTCTTCGGTATCGCGGCCATTGGCTCTTCCATTCCCAGAAATTCCATGGGAGCCAAATACTTGGTCGATATTGCCAATGCCGTCGTCTGCATCCATGATTTTTCCAGATATTTCTACATCTTCTTCTTCTTCTTCTTGTTCATCTTTGTCGTCGTCACCATACTTATAGGCACGATGTTGGTAATATCCTCCAAATTTATCGGTGATGCTGCCTGAACTCTCACTAGACACAATAGAATCTGTTCTTTTAAGATTATGTTCATTAGTATTAGCCTTGGTGCTTGCTGTTGTGTTGGTACTGCCTATACTCTGAGTTTCTCCTAAAGGTAAAGAAGAACCGTCAGTAACTGTTCTTTTAAGTGAATTTTCTCTTGATGCTTTTGTAATCAGTGAGTTTTGCGAAATAGTATTCTTTAATGGATTATTTAGCTGTGCAGTAGAACCCGTTGCCATTGCTGGTGCGGTGGTAGTGGTAGGGAGGGCAGGCATGTGTAATGCGGTAGAATCGTCACCCTCATCAATTTCAGTAGCCAATAACCTAGGCTTCAAGTGGCCGTGTTTCAATTCAACACCACTAGTCTTTTTACGACTACTGCTTCCTGAATTACCTGCAAGTCGTTTATATTTCCCGTTTGAGTTTTCCTTTGTCGCCGTCTTGTCGATTGGTAGAATACCTACTGGTAATTTCCACTTGGATGGTCCCAGTTCATTAAATGCTGTACCTGCATTTCTTCTAATCGTAAGAACATAATTTGATCTTTCACCCTCGCCTGGCTTCAAACTCACTGTTTTCTTTAGAGCAGCAAGGGTAACATGTCGATATGAATTTGAGCTTCGAATAGATCCCATTGAGCTTGATGCTCGATGGTACGACGAGGGGCCCTCGCGAGATCCTCGTCTGCCAAAGGAGTTCAACGAACTGAGATTGGAATAGGAAAGCCCTGAGCTCTCTGTGGATTGGTGTTGCAAAGGTGGTGGTTGTGGTGGTTGTACTTGCTGATAGTGTGATGGTGACATTTGTGAGTGGTGAGGTGGTGTTTCTGGCGTTTGCGGAAACATTGATACATTATTAGGCTGCTTTCTTGACGGCGTTCTTGAATATGACGGCGAGGACGTGGAGCCTCTTGAATTTTGAGGCATAACTGGCGCCGCTGCAGATGAGCTCGTTGAGGGGTTGGTGGTGCTGGTGGCGGAGGTGGTGGAGAAATCAAAAGGTCTTGGTGCTTGATACGGCGAAGTAATTGAAAAACTTGATGCTTTTGAAGATTCCGAAGAGTCAAATAAGTTATTGCTTGCATTGGACGCTAGCGTCTTTTCAAACGGGTTTATATTTTCATCTTCGCTATCCATAAAGTAGTTTTGAATAATATGAGGAGAATTCTCAAGTGATTCATTGGGTGTGAAATCGTTAAGCTCTGTTGATGAATTAAATGGTGACAGAATAGGATATGGTGCATCACCACCATACCTGTTATAATTCGCATGTCCATCAAGGTCTCTCATCTCCGTTAATTTAGAGACATTAAATCCATGTACATATCCAACGGCCGGTGTTCTATCCGCATCGCGTGTTCCATCTTGATCAAACAAACCTCTGTTTTCCATATTACTTTGAGCATACACGCTACTGTTTTCAGTATTTGAATCACCAAGTTGTAAAAAATTATCAATGTCTCCCTCTGAATCTGCCTGCGATCCACGACCATGACTCACTCTTGTTTCCGTGTCCCTTCTGGATGACGAGCCAGAAACTGGACTATCGTTACCCAATTTCGAGCTTGATAAACGCCAATTGTCTCCAAAGTCAAATGAATCTATATCACCTGGTGGTTTTCGACGTGTTTTGTTAATAGATTTGGGACTACTTAGATCAGCAGCGTTTTCTGAATACATGGAAGAGTTGGATCGTGAAGTCGATAGCCTATATTGATCCAACTCCTGTGTTTGCAATCCTTGCAATGCATGTGATGCATTTAGCTGCGAATTGGGCAATTGTCGTTTGAGAGATTTTGGTTGTTGCGCATATAGTTGATCTCTTGCAGCTGATATTGAAGATGGCGATGGAGATGAAGAAACGGAGCCACTGGCTGTTATATCAATTATCGGTTTCGCCGGTGGCGTTTGTTTAGATGCCTGCATTGTTGCATGTTGCAGTGCTGGTGCTAGTGCTGGTGCTAGTGCTGGTGCTAGTGCAGGTGCTGGTTTAGGGTTAGCGCTAGTGCTAGCGCGTAATGTACTCATTGAGGACTGGGAACGAAGTCCTCGCTCTTCGTGTGTTGGTAGCCCCGAGTTTAGTGAAGCATTGCTTCGATTATTGGTCAACTGGGGCCTACTGTTATTCAACTGGTGTTTCCCCAATACTTTTGGCGATGGAGAAAATGAACGTAAATGTGACGATAATTTGTGAGGCGGCGGCGGCAAGGAGCCCAGTTGTGGTGACAACGATGATGACGGCGACGCTGACACTGACGCTGACACTGTGTGAGCATTTGATTTTTTTTCATTGTGACTGAGACTACTATGGCCCTGGTTGAATATTGACGAGATTCTCGACCCAAATCCTTTCTTCTCTGACATTGTTAACAAAAAAAGAAAAAAAAAATTTCAATAACTCAGTAACAAACAAAGGTTTCCCGCTCTTTCAAAAACCGGGGGATAGCGTTTTTGAGATTTCCATAGACTATCAACAATATCCAGCTCTCCTAAAATAACCAAGCAATATAAAAAAAAATCTGGTGTTCAACCAATTCTCTAATGTTTCACCTGTAAGTTAATACCAACATCGTGGAGAAGCTTTTCTTGTATGTGAAAGAAAAAAAAAAAGAAAAAAAAGAAAAAGGTTTTGTTAAGTCGTGCGATGTCTGGTTAAGAAAAAGCATAAAAGTATATTGAATCACATTTATCACTGAGGTGAGTTTGGGAGTTTGCTGAGACTGAGTCATTGGGTTGCTTACTGGGGTTGCATACTCTCTGGAACATTGGTTGGTTTTACTGCTTCACATTCGAATGGGATTGAAGCAGGGTGGAGTGAAAGAAAACTGCGGCGGTTGTTACAAACTCAATAAACTTCAATCGGTAAAGTTTATCAATTTATGTATACAGCAAACGCAGCAGCAAGTTGAGTCAAGCTTAAATAGTCCCAGTCCGGTTCGGGCAATGGGACGTCGACGAAGCACATTAAGCGTTATCCCGCAGTATGCTTTGCCGCGGCTAGAAGAGTACGATGAGTCTCCCCAGAAACTATGTGATTTCTTGGAACTTCGACTTTTGACGTGTTTCATGACTATCCATATTAGGCAAAAGTTGATATACGTCAGCTCTGTGGCTTTTAAAGAGATGGATCCTCAGTTCCAAGTGCAATTGCCGCACATTCCTCCATTTTTGCGTAAATGTGTAGTTAAGTTATGGTATAATGAAAGTGACCTGTGGAATTTGCTTTGTGTGTACAAATTGGATTTATGTCAATTAGTGGAGATCAACAAGGTTGAAGGAGATGAAGATTCTGGGTTCAAGGAAAATTCGCTTTGTATGGAGTTGAATTCTCGTTGGTTTACTTTTAAAAACATGCTCGTGCCAGATTATGTAAATCAGTTTACTCAAATAAAAAGGACGTGGCATACAAGGTCGGTGCCGTCTTATACTTTTGATCAAATGAGAGCGATCAACAACTTGACGAAATCAATTAGAGAGCTAAAGATGTCGCGAGATAACTTGAAGAAACAAATTCGGCGGTACATGATGAAATTGGATACCAATAATGCTAACAATTTGCCTCAAATCATAGATGAGTTGGAACACAAGTGTACCTCTTTGCAAGGTGATATAAACAAGATCAAAACTCAGATTGAAGCTACGAAAAGAAAAATTTACGACTCGAGACTGGAAATCAGTCACATTAAAGATGTGGTTTCTAAATTTGATGGTGTTCAAGACATGATCAATGATAAATTAGAAATATATAATCATGAGCTAGCATCAACTAAAGAAGTCACCCTAAGCACAAAGAAAGAGATAAAAAGTAAACTCAGTCGGTTTATCCTGGTGATAAACGAGATTATTCCAATAAAACCAATTGCCACCAACATCGCCGCCACCTCCTCGTCCAACTCCAACTCCAACTCCTCCAACTCCAACTCCTCCTCCAACAACAACTCCTCCTCCTCGTCTAAACTATTTTCAATTGCAGGGTTCGAATTCCCGTTGAACTTGACAGCAGTAAGAGGCATATGTTATTACGGCAACTCTACTTTACAAAACATATACTATGAACCACAATTTGATACTACTGGCCAACTACACAGTTTCAACATTTGTCAAATAAATGCATCGCTCTCGCACATTATTCAACTCATGCAAGCTATTGCTTGTATTACTTCAACTCCCCTCCGTTATAAAATGATACACGCAGGTAATCAAAGTTATATCATGGAAGAGGATTGCAAAAGATACCCCATACTTGGCAAGCAACCAGCAGCAACAGCAACAATAGCAACAACAACAACAACAACAACAGCAGCAGCAGCAGCAACAACGGCATTTGCTCGTAACCCAACATTCAAATTCCCCTTATTCTACGATCCAAGAGATGCCAATAACGAAAAAATTCTTACTAACCAAGGTACAATTACAATGAACCAGGAATTTGAGTATGGCTTAAACCTATTGTTGAAAAACATGAGACAATTGTTAATATGTGTTAGAGAGGATATCTATGATATTAGCGGAGAAGAGCGTATTCCCGAAGACTGTTTGGATAATTTCCTTTGGGGATTGAAATACTTGGAATTGCTAATGACTTGTTAAAAGGAAAGGAAAAAAAAAAAAATTGACCTTCAACTCTATTAGTGAATCTAGCCTTCTTCTGGGTGTTTTTATACATAAAATTAACTGCTTTAAAGATCTGCAACTTGTAGAGCTTACTTGCTTTGTTCTATGATAAACTTATATATATACATTTATATATTCAAAAAAATTGATCATGGATTTTACTCCATTGCAATCAAAAATGGAAAAAAAAATAGAAGTGTTCTAAGTTTCTCTAAGTTTTTAACAAAAAATATTGAAAAAAAAAAAATAAAAAACCATTCTTCATAATGTCAAAAAGATCGTTAAATTGACTCTGGTATCTTCCCCTCCTTTTTCTGTACCTCTCTCTCTCTCTCTCTCACTAAATGTTGCTTCATAACAAGGCTATAGCCAAGGCACCCAAAGCGGCACCAATTGGAGCAGCCATACGTGCACTACCACCATTAGCAGTTGAAGTTGAAGTTGATGTTGATGTTGAAGCAGCTGTATTCCGTGTTGCGGAAGAGCCTGTAGCTGAAGATGCAGAGTGAGAATCTGAAGCGGCACCACTACTACCACCATTAGCAGCACCAGCAGCTTCTATTCTTGTGTACCATGGAATATTGGTGGCATAGCTCTCCAACTCGGCTATGCTTAATGATGGATTATCCAACAAAGTGGTATATGAGTCGTCGGTATATGTTAATACTTGAGTAGCTATTGTTGACAATACTGCAGGAACTCCTTGCGCAGTGGCAAAGTATTTAACATAATCAGTCTTGTGAGCCTGGTAGTCTCCAACTAATGCAGTGAAAAAGTCAATATCCGACTGATCTGCTGCTGCTGAAACTGATGTGACGAGTAATGCAACTAATGCTGTAACTGATACTCTCATGGCTCTCTTTTTTATTTTATTTATGTGTATGTGTTTAGGGGGTGGGGAGCAAGAAAAGCAAGGAAATCAGCGAAATAAGCAAATAAGCAAATAAACAAGTATATAATGGAAAGACCCTCTTTTCTTCCAATAGTCAAAAATTTCTTTACAAAAAAAGAAAAGAAAAGAAAAAAAAAGAAGGTGAAAAGATTAGTCTAACTCAGTTTTCTCGAGGATTGAGCAAAGATATTTATATCTCGAATCTTTCAAATCCACTTTTATAAAAAGAAGCTTTAGTTGGAGTTTTTTAACCTACATTGAAATTTTGGATAGTACAGAAATTGTTGATAAAGGGTGGGGGGACATTATTGTTAATATGCAGTACCACCGGTACAGTTACCCGATTCGGTAAAAAGCTTTGTATTTTTAAACTGAGCTTGACTTTAACTACCACACTAGCAAATCACTTTGAAGCTGCGATTTTTCCGAGACTGTAACATCAGAGCAGTTGTGTATACAGCCCACATTCTTGGTAAACTCTGACTCTTTGGGGTAATATCATAGTTGTGTAGCCATAAAGATATATATACTATTGGGTGTTTTTTTCAGTTGAGGCAATTTAGCAGTAGAAATCAACGACATTTGAATATATACATATACATATCCGATGTAAATGTAAAACGACGTCATCATCAACGGTATAACTAAATAAAGAAATAGTGAAATTCTAGTAGAAGATTAAATGATACCATCTGTACCACACATACACAAGCATACAAAATGACTAAACCTGTGTATTTTTCCAAGAGTTCTTCAATGACAAGGAATAAAATATTATTTGTTCTTTTTTTAAGTAATCAAACCCGTCCGTTGACAAGATTTGCTCATAAGGTTTAGAGTAAAAAAGGTTTGAAATCGACGTTTATTGTTTGACGTATATGTGCAAGAGGAAGGAAAATGTAATACTCATACTAAAATGTAGCTCAAATGTTCAATATCGTATATACTATTGTCTCTGAAAAAAAAAACTAATAAATTCAGATATGACTTACCTGACGATACTAATACTGGCCCGGGAGAGTTCTTACCCAACATATTTAAAACTTTCATCCACGATATTTGTGTGTGTGTGTGTGTGTATGTGTGTGTTTATGTGTTTAATGCCTGTGTTCTTCGTGCTAAATTCTCTAATGATTACCATTGATTAGACTCATCATTCATTGTAAGAGTATATCTTCTCTGACTGCTTGAGTAGCGAAATTGCTGCAAAAAAAAAAAGAAAAAGGGCTAAATATTTTTGTTTGTACTTTGGAAAAAATAAATCGCCTAATTAGTAAACTGTTAATTTCCAAAAAAGGTATTAGCATCCTAATTAGGAAGTAGAAAAAAAAAAGAACAAAAAGGGTATTTTCCATCAGATATATACAAATATTGTCACCATTTTGGAATTCCCCCTTCCACATCCACCTCCACCTCCACATCCCGCAAATGTTGATTTCAAACTTCACCATCATTGTCTTTGAAAGACGAGGTGGGTTAATTCTCCAGGATGTTTTTAGTAGAAAAAGTATCTCATCTCAAGTTTCTTTAATAGTCAAGTACTCTAAGGTCAAAATTACAGCACATATTACTCTACATCAATCATGCCCTCGGCTTGAGGAAGAAAAAAATTACAAGAAAAGGAGGGAAAGTAAACTTGTTTGGCTTGTAAGACTATCGACTAAACTGAGTCTTCTTTTATCCATTGCAAGATCAGATAAAAACACTGTTGTAGTGGATATTATCTAACTGAACTGTCATATTACTACAAAGTAAGCTTTTGAAATCTTCTAAAGAAAGGAAGACGTTAAGCCTACTTTTAAAAGGTATCCAAAAAAAAATGATTTAATAGAATCAACACGTTAAAAGAAAAAGATTCAGATAATCTACCTAAGCTTTCTGAGTCATTGGATCAAACACATTTTCTTTTTTTTTTTTATTTTATTTTTTTTTATTTTTTTCATAAATCGTTTGTAAGTTTAAGTTTTTAGCTCCCTATTGAGCAGATCGGTGTAAGTTTGTAAACTTATCTCCCTTTGCTATTTGAAACTGGGCTCAAGATCACTCGAGGATCTAAAAGCTCTTTATATTGCTATGGAACGTAGTGAGTGTTTGAGGCATCGTTTCCTGTGAAAAAACCCCATTTTTTTTATAAAAAAGAAACAGTTTTCTTAAAAGATACTCAAATGTAAGAAGATTGTCGGAGATAAAATGGAAAACAAACTAACTTTACTTTCATTCTAGTTTGAGTTACTTTGTTTTCTCAATAAGCCTTTATAGTATTCATAGATTTTGTTTAGAAAATGTCTAACATCTATTACAAATAAGCCTTTTTCCGACCTTCAGGAAGTAAACGCCATGAAACAGTTGTATATTGAGAGACTGGTGCATAACTTCCACACTCAACAAAAGACAGTGAAACTGAAGAACCCAGGCGGGACAAAATAGAAACAAGTTTAACTAAAAAAGAAAAAAATTTAAAAAAAAAAGGAATAATTTGACAATTTTTTTGCAAAAAGCCTCCTCTCAGAAAAAGAACAGGCTACATTTGTCTGTTCGGCACTCGTCAAAGGATTGGTACCACCTTTTGTTGACGCCAAAACAAAGCTTACATGACTTATTTTATTGGATGTAAAGAGGTTTCAATCGAAGAAGTGAGACAAAATATATATATACTTTTATAATTGACAGTTATTAAGGTACCAATGATTCATTTTGGTAGATATGCCAAGAAAACTTTTATGCCCGTAATTTTTAGAGTGGGGAGTTACAAGAGCAAAAATATGTAAGTGCTCTATTTTAATCATGAATTGCAAAAAAAAATGGTTACCCGCATTAAAGGCTTATAACTGCTAATTTCCGACTTACTCCTAAAGACAATACTTATCCACAGTAAAATAAGAAAAGACAAAGATGAACAGAAACGGAAGAAGAAGCTGTAAAATAGAAGCCACGTTTTTTTTGGTCGTTCTCTCTCTCTTTCTCCCCCCCCCCCCCTACCATCAGCCTTTCTCTCTCTTCCTTCTAAATACACACAAATCTCCTCAGTCCGCCATAGAGCTACAACACCTATATAATAAAAAATGTCAAACACCGAGCATACTGAGTGATGTAGACTATCGAGCAAAGCGAGATAGTCTATATCTACTCTCTCCATCTACACTCTCTATAGACTGTCTCGCTTTGCTCGATAGTCTATACTTTTTCTTACCTAGAAGCAGCAGAATTAAGGATGTTGCGTAAGGTCTTAGAAGTAATAGGGGGTAGCTCAGCAAATACAATGAATCCTAATGAATTGGTCAAAATTATACATTACCAACTAAATAGTTCTATTTAAATAAAAAAAAACAGAAGCCTCCTCTTCTCTCTTTAGGTTATCCAGGTAACTAAAACGATTCAATGCTTACAACAAAAGTAAACCAGCAATTGCAGCTAACAATTCAATGCTTATAACAAAAGTAAACCAGCAATTGCAGCTAATGATCCAGCACCAGAAACTCCAGCAATATTAGCACCATCTTTGGATTTGTGTGTTTTTGTTTTAGTTGAGGTCGACTCGGATGTAGAAGATTTAGACTCGGTGCTAGAAGACGAACCTTTAGTAGAAACTTCAGAACCTGATGAAGAATCAGCAGCTTGGATAGCAACAAAAACAGTCGACAAAGCTAAGATAACGGAGGTGAATTTCATTTTCTTTTCTTGATTAGTATATATATATATGTGTGTGTGAGTACTTCAATATGAATAACACGCTAGAACTAAGCTGGAACACCAAGAGGAATATAGAATGAACTTGAAAAGCAGAAAGAGTAGATGGGAAAGTAGGAAAAGTTGATAACTTTAAGAAAGTTATCCTCCTATTTATATCCTTTTTTTTAAAAAAAAATTGCCAATCACACCCACTCCTATACCCACACCCATTCCTCCTTCTTCTTCTTTTTCATACACACTTTATTCTTGAGCATTTAATGCCTGATTAATTTCCAAAATGAATTGCACAAAAGAATCGAGTTTGATATTGACATGCATGAGCGCTAATTGATCTATTTTCTACGCCATTTCCTATTTCCAAAATCGACCCAATGGAAACAAAGATAATGCTTAATATTCTGTCTCCTTCCATCTTCACACGTAAGGTAATATCAGTTGGCTAAAAAGATGGTGGCCTCTCTTGATGTACTATTGGAGTTACTCATTTTTAGTTGCTCTGCAAAATAAAAAAAAATAAAAAAAGAAAACTGTAGAGTGCAAACAATTTATTTTGCATCAATGGAATTTGGCAACTTCAAACGTCACTAGTAAGGTCATGGAAAGATTTGCTGAGTCATAATTCTTGAACCACTTCAATTACAATTTGCAGGAGCGTAAATTGATTGCAATGTATGTAAATCTCATGACTCTATTGTACCATCATACATAAGATATGCCTGTAGGTTAGAACATAATTGGATTGTACTTAAACTGTAGTTCTTGCATAAGTTTCTTTTATGTAGTGTGTCGAAACAATGTTTGAAACTAGTATCAACCCAAATTGGGACGTGACTTCACAAGGAAAACCAATTGAGCCACATATACACGCCAATTCCTCTTAATGGAAAGCAACGCAAACCTTATGTCTTGATTGGGAATAATCAGGTTAGGTCTTATTTGCTCCTATTTTCACAAAAAAAACAACTTTGATGTAATAAAACAAACTCTCTACATTTTTTTTAGGGGGGAGGAGGGAAGAGGGGGGGGGAGAGGATAAGCAGTTGTTCTTTGTTACACTAATATTAGGCACAAGAGGTCAAGGTAAATCCCATCCATCCATACACTTTAGCACGAAGCAAGCAAGCAAACAAAGGCAATAAATAAATAAAGACCGCAATAACAGCAATAACAGCAATGACAACAGCGACCAAAAAAAAATAAGTAGACATTTTTTGTGCTTTAACACTTTACTCAGTATTCTAAAACTGTTAGATATGTTCTATATGGAGTGCCCCCCTTCTCTCTCTCTCTCTATTTCTCTCTCTCGCGTCTTCTCCTGTCATCGCCCCTTTGTCTCTCTCTCTCTCTCTTTTTTTCTCTCTCTCGCTTCTTCTCCTGTCATCGCCCCTTTGTCTCTCTCCTATTTATATCCGGGCTTTCTAAATTGGTCGATTTCGCCATCCACAAAATAGGCAGTTTTGAAAAGAGAGTTTGATTCCTATATTACAATCGTATATTACCTGACAAGGCTTAAAAATACATAGTGTTTTTAGCTCCTATCTTTTTTTTGGTTTTTTTATATGTATATCTATCTATATTCTTCTTTCCGGACTATCCTTGGAATGCACCGGCTGCAAAACATAAATTTCTTCTCGTGAAATGAACCTTGAAAACTGGAGTCTTTTTGGTGAAAAAGGCTGTCATATGGTCACTAGTTGCAATAACATCTCTTCGACTCACTTGTTGCTGCTGCTGCTGTTGTTGTTGTTGTTGTTGTTGTTGCTGCTGCTGCTGTTGCTGTTGTTGCTGCTGCTGTTGTTGCTGTTGTTGTGGCGGTGGTGCTGGTTGCTGTAATTGCAGGGGCTGTTGTTGATGTTGTTGCTGAGCTTTGCTCTCCTCTGTAGTTGAAGATTCTCCGTTCGCGGTCGTATTGGTGACATTGACCAATGCTTCAGGTTCGGGTCCAGAATCATTTGTGTTCTTTCTCACATCCCATATTCGAACACTACAATCCCCTGAACCACTAACCAAGACACCACCATCATGGGAAAATGCGAGCGAGTAAATGGATGATCGACCATGCCCCTTCATTGTTTTCAATCTTCTTCCGGTGCCTATATCCCACAAATTAACCACATTATCGTCTCCTGCACTAGCCAACCATCTTCCGTCTGGTGATATTGCAAGACAGTTGACTGCATTGGTATGACCCATGAATATCCGAACGCAGTGACCAGTACGAACATCCCACATTCGACATGTTTTATCACTCGATCCAGTAAACACATAATTCGAATTGGGATGGAATTCGGCACAATCAACATCGTTGATATGGCCGGCAAAGATCCGGAGTGGGTAGATGTGGTCTGTAGCCCATAATCTCGCAGTCTGATCATGGGAAGTAGTGACGAAATAATGACCTAGTGGTGAGAATTTGACATCCCATACTGGTTGATTGTGGCCCTTGTATGCGACTAACGCCGTGAACGTATCCAATGACCAGAGTCTCACTGTCTTGTCCTCCGAACACGTAATGAGAAACTTGTTATCTGGAGAAAAAGAAATTCCATATACGGGTCCGCTATGACCAATAAGCTTACGACAATTATCGGAATATTGATGCATCTTACGGTCCTTTTTAAGACCCGATGGTAACGGTTTGCCATCTAGACTCCATATTTTAACATAACTGCCTTGGAACCCCGCGGCAACCATTGTGGAATCTTCATTGAATGCGATACATGTCATATCGTTGTTAGTATTGTGGAAAGTATACATACAAACACTAGGTGAGCTTGCTTGTAGTGCGCCTAATCTAATTTTTGACCTTGAATCTTCAACTTGCATGATTAATTTTTTGATATCTGTCGAGTCCTTCATTGGTAATGGTATTGAATCCTTTGATGGAGAATCTGCATCTGGCTTAACCATTTCTTGAAATTCTTCACTTAAAGTCTTTCCGTTCACAGGTTCGATTTTTTCATCTTTAATTTTGAGTTCTGCTTCTACTTCCTTGGCGACTTCTGGGTCCAAAGGAAATTTTCCCAACTTCACCTCTTTTTCGCTGTTGAATTGTTCCAACTCGTTTGTATCTGCTATGTATTCAGATATACCTTCTTCCGAATTAGCTTCACCTTCTTGATCGATTTTATCTGGTCTATTTTTGGAGATAACTGGGTCTAAGTATTGGTTAATTATACGAATCAAAATTGACCCACCAACTGCTTCGTTCTCATGAAGAAAATATAGCAACAAATTCAACGAGGTTTTAGAAACCAAAATCCTATATCGATATTTTCTATAAGCCTCTGCAATACTGTTCTCCTTAAGATGTTCAGGTAATGACAATCCAGCAAATTTTTTTACTTCAATTCCATGTAATATCAAATGATCAGACTTGTATTTATCAAAAAATTCCTTTGCCTTGACACCAAACCCTTTAGTGATCAACTCCAAAAAGCAATGAATAAACAAAGGGTATAGCACACGTGACAATTCGGGCTTATACAAATCCAATGAGGACTCAACCCATTTTCTCAACATAGAGTACGCAGTAAAATACAGGTCTGGATCATTTTCAATTCTCGTCCTATTTTCCAAGGCTCTCAATTGTTTCAAATCGGCTTCCTTTGATAAGCGGATTTCTCTATTTTTAGTTTCTTGCAATTCACGTTCGATCCTTATTTGCTTTTCTCGCAATTCACGCAATTCTTTTTCATTTTTGGATAGTTTGTCTTTTAAATCTTTTTGAGCATCCAACTCGCTAGGTGCTGCGAGCAAAGTAGTATTCGGGGAGATCGGTGCTACAGCAGGGGTAGGTGTACTTGTACTTTCCAATCTCAACATTGACTCTGTTCGATGATACCCCTTCTTATTCAAATATTCAAGCACTATTCGATTCAAATCTGCTTGTGAATATTGCGGCTGGTTTGCTCGCACTTGCTGTTGCTGCTGCTGGTGCTGCTGGTGCTGCTGGTGCTGGTGCTGTTGTTGCTGCTGGTGTTGCTGTTGTTGCTGTTGTTGTTGTTGTTGTTGTTGTTGTTGTTGTTGTTGTTGTTGTTGCTGTTGTTGTTGCTGTTGTTGCTGTTGTTGTGATGGTGGTGGTGCCGGGCGCGGAGCTGTCTGTGGAGTTGACTTTGATGTTCCTGCCGCTGCTACTGATTGGAGTGGCCGTTGCTGTGAAAGGACTCCTTGGGCAGCTGATGCTGCATCTCCGACTTTTTGCTGATCCGGTTTGTTATCTGCCGCCATGGTAAGTGATTGATACAAAGACGATCGGCTCGATTGAAGAGCTAGCTTGGATTTACAACCTATTTGCTTTCCTTTTCCTTCACTTGTTTGAAAATTGAAAATTGAAAATTCTTGTGAGCATTTAACTGTGCTACCAGTTGTTGATAGAATAAGAGAAACTATAGTTGATGAGTCGAGTCTTTGAATTATTATCAATTGAGTTTATACAATGAAGGATTTGTATAGAGAGCTTTCGAGGCGTAGATACTTGGACACTATCGAGCAATACTATCGAGCGATACTATCGAGCGATACTATCGAGCAGAGCGAGATAGTGTCGATAGTGTCGATAGTGTTGATGTAATCAGTACTGCTCCACTATCGAGCGATACTATCGAGCGATACTATCGAGCGATACTATCGAGCAGAGCGAGATAGTGTCGATAGTGTCGATAGTGTTGATGTAATCAGTACTGCTCCACTATCGAGCGATACTATCGAGCGATACTATCGAGCAGAGCGAGATAGTGGAGAACACTAGCTGCAACCTTTAATCTAGTATCGGTGTAGTCAGTACTGCTCCACTATCGAGCAATACTATCGAGCAGAGCGAGATAGTGTCGATAGTGTTGCTAGTGTCAATGTAATCAGTACTGCTTTACAATCTCGCTCTGCTCGATAGTGTCGATAGTGTCGGTGTAGTCAGTACTGCTCCACTATCGAGCGATACTATCTCGCTCTGCTCGATAGTGTCGGTAGTGTCGGTGTAATCAGTATTGCTCCACTATCGAGCTATACTATCTCGCTCTGCTCGATAGTGTCGATAGTGTCGATAGTGTCAATACTGTTGTTTCTCCTTTTTGCACCTTTTTCAATCAAAACTAAACAATATATATCGTTTCAACGTTAAAAAAAATTCTGTTTTCAATACCAAACTCTTGTCATCAATTATAATAAGAATCTCTCAAGCATATACACAAATCATGTATAATCTCAAGAGTTGAGAATAGTATCAGCTCTGTTAATGTTTTACAAAGACTAATTTTGATGATATATGAGGCTAGAGGATTACTAGCCTTAGGATTAGTTTTTCACAGAGACCATTCATGAGGGGGTACGAAATTCCCAGAAATTGGGCGAATGGTCTAGTGGTATGATTCTTCGTTTGGGTATTCTCTTGTAAATCCTGAGCATAAATTTCGAAGAGGCCCTGGGTTCGATTCCCAGTTCGCCCCAATTTTTTTGCAACACCTATCGACACTATCGAGCAGGGCGAGATAGTGGAGCACACTAGATGCTACTGAATCTATCGACTCTATCGACACTATCTCGCTCTGCTCGATCGTGGAGCACATTGACTAGTTACGACACTATCTCTCTCTGCTCGGTAGTGGAGCACACTAGCTGCCACCGACTATCGAGCAGAGCGAATTAGTGTTGTAAAAAACTAGTGAGTGTTGCTCCACTATCGAATGACACTGACTAATGACACTACCAAGCAGAGCGAGATAGTGTAGTAGCACTTAGTAGACACTATAGAGAAACACTATCGAGCAGAGCGAGATAGTGTTGTAACAAGCTACTGAATGTTGCTCCACTATCTTGCTCTGCTCGATAGTGTTGAACGATTAATACTGCAGACTGCTCTACTAGCTCGCTTTGCTCCATAGTGTCTACTACATACTGCTCCACTAGCTCGCTTCGCTCCCTAGTGTCTACTACATACTGCTCCACTAGCTCGCTTCGCTCCCTAGTGTCGCTACTCGCTTCTCTCTGCGCGATAGTGCCTTTAAAAAAAACAAACATAAACATTGATTAGTTTATATTCACTTTATTAAACTTTACTTCATTTACATGACGACTGTATCAGCAAAGACTATACAAAGCGATTTAGATGATCTCACAAGCCAGAATTACTCTATCCTAACTGCAATTGAAGATGTCCAAAGTGCACATGTACTGGACCCTAGAAATATTGAAAAGAGTCTTGAACATTGGAAAAGCGTTTTTACGCGTTTAACCTCTCGTTATGAGGAAAGAGCTCTACGAGAAGAATTTTTAAGAAAAGTGTCATCTTTGAATATAGATCAGTTATTGAACGCGACTGAGGAAGGGAAGCAAACACTCAAACAGGAAATAACGCTAATAGAGCAAAATTTCAATACTCTTGAGTCTGAAAAGGAAAAAAAGTTGCAACAAGTGAAAAATTTGAGTGCAACAGTAAGCTCATTGTATCAAGAGTTTCAACTGAAACAGAGAGATATTAAGGATAGTATAGACGAAGCTGAAAAATTGGAGAAGGAAGTCGATCAATTGATGAGTGATGATTTTGCCGATAAAGAAGTATTGGAATTCGTGATAGACGCGGATGTTGTTGAAGATTTGGACATTTTGCCATGGCAAGTAAATCCTCGTGAAAAAGTAGAGATGGAGGATAAAGTGAAACGGATTGAAATGGATATCGAGGACACTGAAAATCGATATATTGAAGAAAAGAGGAAACTAGAAATACTTGATGACAAGGTGACCCAATTGCAATATTCATTAGAAGGAAAGCAGCCTATCAATAGTAAATTACACAAGCTCACTTTGTGGTGTAAAGAAATGAATCAGATATTGATGAAATTAGGAGGTTTGGAAAAAATCGACTTGACGGTGAATAACCGAAATGAATATCGATTAAAACTAGCGACTAAAGAAAAGGAGGTGGCGGCACTGCTTACAAAAAACCTAATTATTGATGGCATATCTCAGGGTAATGACTTTATTTCGAGACTCAAGCAGATGGATGATGACGAAAAGCGGATTTTGATTGCTCTGAAGATAAGGGAAAAACTCTGTAGTTAGATGAGCTGGAAAAAAGGTTAAACTAATGTAATCTTACGCGTTGCTTGTTCTATTGTAAACTGAAACTATTTAAAGAGAGACACTATCGAGCAGAGCGAGATAGTATCCCTCGAGTGTGAAACTAGTAAGTGCCACTAGTAAGTGCCATAAGTGCCACTAGTAAGTGCCATAAGTGCCACTAGTAAGTGCCATAAGTGCCACTAGTAAGTGCCATAAGTGCCACTAGTAAGTGCCATAAGTGCCACTAGTAAGTGCCATAAGTGCCACTAGTAAGTGCCATAAGTGCCACTAGTCAATGCTGTTCCACTATCTCGCTTTGCTCGATAGTGGAGGTTTGTCGCTTTGCTCGATACTTTCACTAGTGTATCATTATGCCTTTCAACAGATCGGCGCAAATGGTTTAGTGGTAAAATCCAACGTTGCCATCGTTGGGCCCCCGGTTCGATTCCGGGTTTGCGCAACTTAATTTTATTTTTTTTTACAAGTTTTTCAGTAACTGTGGCTGTTCCTTTTTCCCGAGGCTACTTATTGGGAGCCCTTGTATGGTCAATGGTCCACTTCAAGAGAGTAAGTTGATATATCCACAACCTTTAGTACAAACCAAGTAAAGTTCTTATAATCTCTACCTATTCCCCGTGGTCGGAGTTGGAAAGGCTTGACATTTTTCGTCGTTTAAAATTTAGCCTTGTTCTATTTTATTTTTCCTCCCCCCCCCACAATCTCTCTTTATCTCTATCTCTTTTCTTATCACCAAGTTTTATAGTTGTAGGAAATTTCAAGTGATGTTATTGTATAAACTTGTCTTTATAGCATGCTGCTATGTTGGTGCATTGACCATACCAAGAAATGACCAAATTGTGGTAATTGAGAATCTGCCAGTTTCTAGAGAAGAAGGGGCATCGGTAGCACGTACATTAGTACATAGAGAATCATTAGTTAATGTCAATACAATTAAAACCATAAGGACACAGACAAAAGAAGGACCAGGACCAAAAAATGTACAGGTACCCGTTTCATCAATGGAGTACTATGCTGATTGTGACGGCGATGGCGATCCGTACTGGTTAGTAATTGATGTTGGTGGACCTAATCAAAATATTGTAAAAGGATCACCATTTTCATTCACGATAAGAGATGGCGATCATCCAGATTGGGATGAGGTGTCTGAGGAATACCCTGGGAAAAGAAAAGGTTCAAATGCAGGATCTCCTAGAGTCCAATTGTTTGGAAAATTAGAGTATATCAATTTTTTGAATCCATTTGATCCTAAACGAGTATTATTGGAGAAATGCTTTCTTGAAAGACACCCAGATGCTGCAATGTGGTTGCCTGGTAATGTAGTGTCTCCGCATAAATCCCATTGGGTGAAGATAAAAGTGGAAAGCGTATACATGATTGGAGGGTTCGGCGATATTGCATACCTTGGTGAGTTGACTGGGGACGAGTACCATTCAGCAAAGATCATTGATCCACAGGATGGTGATGATGAGAATGTGAATGAGAATGAGAATGAGAAGAAGTTGGTCTTTTAATTCTATTCTATTAAAATAAATATTCTACAGACTTGCACTAGGTTAGGTTAAGTTAGGTTAAGTTTTTGTTCACCCTTCCTTTTTGCTTCTCTCTCTGCCTTTGTTTCTTCTTCTCCCAAAACTTTTCAGCTTCAAAAACTGCATTCAACGCTTTCCCCATTGTATCATGATCAGTCATCAAGCCAACATGAGCACAACTACTTGCAAATTTACCTACAATTTGACCAGTTCCACTCAGCTTATCGTAATATTTAAATCCTTTCTTTTCGGGCATTAACCATTTTTGATGTATCACACCATCTCCATGACCATAAAAAAATTCATAATAATTACCATTCTTGATGTCTTCTCTCAGTCTAACTATAGATCCTCTCACTGATGGGATAGTGTTACCATATACTATTGCCATTGGTGGATATTCTGCTTCTAATTCGGGATTATATTCAAGTGAAAGCACGTATCTTTTAGTCGCCTTTAATGTTTCCGATAGGTACCTATATGCTTCAGCAAAGCTGAGTGAATAATGGTCATCATCTTGGGGAAGAGCAGAAGCAGTACTCTCCCTACTGCTTGGTGGTGAAATATTTGAGCATGAAGGTGAGGTTGCTTTTTTCTTCAATGATGACGATCTATATATTTTGGTGATTGTAGTTCCAATCTGGTTGATATTGATGGTTGGGAAAGATAACGTACTCGATGAGGAGAGTAGAGAGGATGGCGGTGAGCCACTCGAAACAGCAGATGCTGAATTATTAGCAGCTGCTTCTGCAGCAATTTTCCTCTTTTTAGCCACCAACGGGTTTAAATTGTACTCGACCCAATTATCAGGGTCAAAATAATCTATCTTGTAATTCTCCTTTGTGTCCTTATTGTAAAAAACCTCTCCGCTTAATGGTAAAAAGATAAAACTAGATCGCATCATAAAATTCGTCTCATAGGTCAAGATCTTATCTGATAATATAACTGAATCACCAAACCTTATTGGGCCCAATATATTCAAGCACTCACTTGGTGATCCAACATAAATGACGGATCGAAATAATTTGGGATTTCTTTGTAATGCTCCATGCACCATTAACCCTCCCATTGAATGAGCAATAACTAATGTAGGTTTGCCTGTTAGTTTGTATATTTCCTCCAAAAACTTTTCAATCTTATGCGAGACGTAATCACCGCTTAATCTCCAATCGTATCCAAACTCTTGGATATTGACATTAGGGTTAGCGTCTAGTTTATTAATAAGTTTCTTACATATATCAACTGGACCAACGTTTTTCAATACCCCATCGGGATAAATCTTGTCTTCTGCATTTAGTTCATCTTCTTTATTTGGACCTAAAAGGAGATTTATTTTTCTCAAATTAAACCCTGCTTTTATCGGTATCCAAACTCTTTTTTTTGTACTTGTGTCTCTTAGGATGGAACCTCTATACCCTCCCATAACCACTATGTTGCCATCAATTCTATCATAAATTGTTTCATAATCATGTAGTTCCCCCTTTTTCTTATGGGGTATTATTTCATTAACATTTGCTGAAATGGAATGCTTTATGGCTTTTAATCTACCAGCATCGGTTCCTTTGAAATCTCTAAAGTAGTTTTCGTCATCTAACGTACTTATGGTCTGTTGTCTCTCTAGTTTCAAGTCTACTTCTCGTCGTAATCTTTTCAAGTCCTCACTATTGATATTGTTGTTATTATTGTTGTTATTGTTTCCAACAAATGGGACATCAATTTTAAAATTCTGCAATTGTTTAGTTAAGTTATGCTTAATAGTTTCGAGTCCCCCAAACGGCAATGCAAACGAAAACACCTTTTGTGACTGGTTATAGTTTTTCATTTTGGAGTGTGAAAAAGAACCATCGCTGACTTTAATTTGCTGATCTTCGGTTGATAAATTTGGGTCAGCTACTGGATGCTCTCTATTAGATTGTTGTTTGGTTTCTTGATGGATGTTGGAGATGGATTCACCACCAACTATCGACTCAGCATCAGCTCTAGAGAGTCTTCTATCAACGGGTGGCCGCTCTTCAATCTCGGGTACAAAGTTTTTGACCTGATGCTCCAGCCACATCTCCTCCTCCTCCATATCCTCCATATCCTCCTCCTCCTCCTCTTCCTCGTCACTCAGGTTTTCAAACCCGCCAAACCTGCCATCACGGTTGTCAGTGTCACCAGCGTCACCAGCGTCAAACCCGTCACCACCTTCATCATCAAGAAAAGATATTTCATCTCCAATAGTAGGAGGTGTATCTATGCTATTTTGGGGCAGCAACAAAACTTTTTCCTCCTCAACAGTTCCCTTAACAGCTCCTTCAACCGTACCTTCTTCCTCTTCTTTCCTCATCAGTCCAGCCGAAATTAATGTCAATTGCAGTGGTCTTATCAAAGTTTTCTCTTCTTCTCGGATTTTGCATTTTCCACCCCCAAATTTGGAAACACAAAATAAACGCATTATTTTTTTTCAACTGCCTAAGAAAAAAAATAAAATAACGGTAAAGCGTTTTTCCGTCGGCTGAGATGGAAATGATTAGCAGATCAAAACTATACTATAATAGATGTTGCGGGTCAGATTACAATTCTACCGCGTGGCGATACTAGTGAGCGTGACAACACTAGTGAGCGTAGCGAGCTAGTAGAGCAGGAAGAGTAGAAAGTAGTTAGATTACAATTCTACCGCGTGGCGATACTAGTGAGCGTAGCGAGCTAGTGGAGCAGGAGGAGTAGAAAGTAGTTAAATTACAATTCTACCACCTCTTTTTTTGGTTATGTGGGTTTTACAGATGAAAGAAAAAGTGTAGAGTGGATGGAGAAACGCATTTGTCTGTTTTAGTAGCAAGACATTTCGAAAATTGCAATGTTTCTGGGGGTACCTTCATGTCTATGTCTAAAGGATACCAAATTATAAGCCCTTTTTTTTTCGCGCTAAATCAGATTTCGGCTTTATAGCCACATTGGCTCTATATTTGAAAGGGCGACACTAGTGAGCGTAGCGAGCTAGTGGAGCAGGAGCAAGTAAAAAGTAGTAAGTAGGCGACACTAGTGAGCGTAGCGAGCTAGTGGAGCAGGAGCAAGTAGAAAGTAGTAAGTAGGCGACACTAGCTCGCTTTGCTCCCTAGTAGAGCAGGAGCAAGTAAAAAGTAATAAGTAGGCGACACTAGCTCGCTTTGCTCCCTAGTGGAGCAGGAGCAAGTAGAAAGTAGTTAGTAGCGGAGCAGTAGAGAGTCTTATTTTTGATACATTTGCACGATGAATAACTTTTCCTCTAAATTAGAGAAGGGTTTAATGCATAACTTTACCTCTAGGTTAGAGAAGGATAGTGCCACTAAGAAATGTTGCTCCACTATCTCGCTCTGCTTGATAGTGTCGGATAGTGCCGCTAAGAAATGTTGCTCCACTAACTCGCTCTGCTCGATAGTGTCGGATAGTGCCACTAAAAGTGTTGCTCCACTATCTCGCTCTGCTCGATAGTGGTGTGTCGCATCACGAGACATTTAGCAAGGAAAACATACCGGTTTGATTGTGCACAATAAAAAACCAGAAAAGCCCAGGAATATGCAATAATTACCTCATTATACGACATTTTCCTCAAAAATAAATGACATGGAGTTAAAAATCAAAAGTTGTCATGTCAAATAGGGTTGGACTGTAATTATAGTTTCATAACTAAAAGATTCGGCGCAGACTCTCTTATATATAAAATAACCACTAAAATAGTTAGATCCAGATTTAGATTTTATGGGGTAAGAATTGAATAGTAGTTACATGACAAGTGGGTCAAGGGGGAAATCACGTCATTCAAGTCAAAATGAACTACAAAGAAAATGGGGTTACTGGTAAAGCGCGTGGAAGGGAGTGTTAATTGTAGGAAGGACCCCCTAATGATGTCAATGAAACCTGTCACCTGTCAAATTCAGATACGAGAATGTCGCAAACACAAAATCTTAATCCATTTTTTTTCTTTCCTTTCTTCCGAAAGTTTGGAGAGAAGCCAATATCAAACAAAACACTCCAAATTTCAACGTCAATTGGGTCCATTGGATATTGCTCGTATCTTGATTAGTATGGAAAAATCACCATAACTAAAAGTAAAAAGAAGAAAATAAATCAAAGCAAGAAAAAAGCAAAAAGGGAAGAAGAAGATATTACCCCCCTAAAGAGGTATCAATGAGGAAAGCTACGAGTGTGTATATGTTTGTATGAGTTGTATGAGTGTGTATATGTTTGTATGAGTTGTATGAGTGTGTATATGTTTGTATGAGTTGAATGAGTTGTATGAGTGTGTATATTGTATGAGTTGTATGAGTGTGCTCCACTATCTCGCTCTGCTCGATAGTGTCGTTCGCCTTTGCTTCGTCCTACAAGTTAGAGGAAGAAAAGAAAAAAAAAACAAAAAAAACTCCTTTAAATGCAAACAAATATTTGTCAATTTTCATTTACTACATAATCAAACTGTTAATAGTAGGCTTTTTAGAAACGTGCGGTTCCGAAGCTGTTGAGGATGCTATAGACGTAAACTGCAGCTGCAGCTGCAGTTGCGTCGAGGGAGGAGGTTGGTCAATCAACGAGATATAGATAGATCTTTTCTTCACGCCCTCCATCGTTTCGGCTTGCTGTACTGTCTCTTGAGATGTAACAGGTGTACACTTATCTCCTCCTCTATTTACCGTTACACCCGAATAGACATCTTTGTTATTTGTAGCTTGACTTTCCTGAGATATATCTTGCAGAGATGCAAGATTAGGATTTTGCCCATCTGGTTGAATTCGTGGTGTGGTATATAAACTCGGTGAGGCCGCTCGAGGTACTGACATGTTTTCCATTGTATCATCTTTCTTGACAATGGAGGTGATTGTTATTCCAGCGGCAGCGATTGGTTCTTCCTTTTTATCCTCTTCATCCTCATCAATCATCATAAAATCATTATCTTGAGGAGGGTGTGGTGGTGGTGGTGGTGGTGGTTGTGTGATCTCCTTCACCTCATTATCAGTATTCAACACCCCCTTTAACCAACTACTCTTAAACTCTCGTTTCACATCAGGCGAATCTTGACTATGCAAGTTTGCCGCTTGATTAGTATGAGTCTCCTCATCATTACTGGCATTATTGTTTGCAATGAATGTCGAATTCTCCTCAGATATGCTACTATTAGCTGGATGTAAATGCATTGGCAAATTCTTGTACGCAACTAATCCGAAACTATCTCTATGACTTCCCTGACTTTGACTTGATGAAGTATTAGACAGTATTGAAAAATGCAGAGACATAGGTGATTTTATGGACATTGATGATGTTGAAGAATTGGAACTGGACATTGTAGAAGTATTTGCTGAATGACCAACAGCCGAGTTCTTGGAGGTGTTGAGATTGTTATTACTGTTATTGTTATTACTGTTGTAGTTATTGCTGTTATTGCTGTTATTGCTGCTGCTGATGCTGCTGCTGATGCTGCTGCTGTTGTTGCTGCTGTTGTTGCTGTTGTTGTTGTTGTTGTTGTTGTTGTTGTTGTTGTTGTGCATATGATACGGTGAACTATGTGAAAAACCATTGAGATGATGAGGATGAATGTGAGGTAGTGGCGGTGGATGCTGATGACAAAGTGTAGTAGTACTATTATTGTTATTATTATTATTAATGTTATTGTTGTTGTTGTTGTTGTTGTTATTGTTACTATTACTATTATTCTTCGTCGGAGCATTATATGAAGAATAGAATAATGGAGAGAGTGGACTTGCCAAGTTTGGAGTTAATGAAGCAACGGAAGATGCTGATTTTGGTGGTGGTGGTGGCGGTGGGAATTGTAGACCTAAATTGTTTCTAAAACTACCATTATTTCTGTAATTGTAATGAACATCATTTAACGAGGGAGATTTTGATAATGGTACTGCTGATATACCCATTGTTGCTGGAGCATGTGCACCAGCTGAACCAGCAGCAGCTGCAGTTCCAGTTGAAGTAGCTAAAGAGTCATCAGATCCAAAAGTAGAATGTTGCAATGCTAATGGTTGTGGTCTCTTCTTCGGCTTGAATGAGTGGCTAGGCAATTTAAGTTCCTCTTCTTTATCACTATTGTGTTGTTCTTTTGGAGATACTGGTGCATTCTGTTCATCAAGTCGATGAAGTATTGGTGGCAATGGTGGTAATGGTTTTTGATACAGAGGTGGAATAGGCTGCTGCTGCTGCTGTTGTTGTTGTTGTTGTTGTTGTTGTTGTTGTTGTGTGTAGATATAAGATGATGATGCTTGAGGGTAGATGCTTTGCTGATGATAGGGCGGCAACAGTTGTGCAGAGTGATTTTGATTAGTGGCTGTAGTGGTTGGCTGCTGCCTGAAAACATAATGTTGCCGGTAGGAATCTGCTGGAATTGTGGTTAATTGGTGGTGGTGATGATGTTGCTGGTGCTGGTGCTGGTGCTGATGTTGTTGCTGATGTTGTTGCTGGTGTTGTTGCTGTTGTTGTTGTTGTTGCTGTTGCTGTTGCTGTTGGTATTGCAACGCAAGGGCTAAGTCGGTTTTTCTCTGCTGTTGCTGCTTCATCTTCTTTATCAGCTTGGATCGTTCAATTAACAACTTGCTATCACTATTATCTTTTGTTAAATAAGTTTCATAAGCATGTACTGTTTGTTTATGTTGTCTTAAATTATCTAATCTCAGGAAATTCTTACAGCAATAAGGGCAAGTAAACGGTCTTTCTCCTGTATGTTTTCTTTTATGACGAGCTAAATGCTCACTTCTTGTAAAGGACATGCTACAACCCAGATATCCGGTACACTGGAAGACTCTTCCCTTGCTCGACCTTTTATTCTTCAGTTTCCCCTGACTGGCAGATGTTGTATAATTATTATTATTTAACTTTAACGACAAAGAAGAACTTCTAATGCTAGTATTAGCATTAGTATTAGGAGTAGTAGTTAGCACAGATGGTGCTGTTGAAGAAGAAAGTGCAGACTCCTTTGAAGAGGAGGACGAAAGTGTTGATTGTGTCGCATTTGTCAACGTTGGAGTAAGCGCAGGTAACGAAGTTGTTAGTGAAGTTGGTGTTGATATTGAAGGAGCTCTTAATGCTGGGAGTGAATAGATACTCTGTGAAGAAGTTATCGGCGGTGGTGGTGGTAAACCGTCTCTAGTAGTTGTTTTTGATGCAGCAGCAGCTTCTGAAGTCAATGGCGGTAACTTTGGGGGAATAGGAGGTAATGGCTGCTGGTGTACCAGCAGCAGCAGCAGCAGCAGCAGCAGCAGTTGTATCGGATAATGTGCACTTGAAGGTTGTGACATATAAGGTGGTGATATTTCACAGCGACAATTATGTTAACCACAACACACGGGGTTTGAAGAAATTTCTTTGAGTGAAAACTCTGGTGAAAACTCTGGTGAAAACTCTGGTGAAAACTCTGGTGGAATCTCTGGTGGAATCTCTGGTGAAATCTCTGGTGAAATCTCTATTGGTGAAAATCCTTTTGGTGAGAATCCTTTTGGTAAAATCTCTTTGGTAAGATCTCTATTGGTGAAAGCCCTTTTGGTAAGATCTCTTTGGTGAGAACCCTTTTGGTAAAATCTCTATTGGTAAAATCTCTTTTGAAAAAACCCTTTTGGTGAAAACGTTTTTGAAAAAATCTCTTTCAAAGAAAGCTCTATTGATGAATGAAAATTTTGTTGATTTTTCAATTTTGGAATTTTTCTTCCTTGTAGAATTTTCAAGTTTAGTTTTGTTTTGTTTTGTTGATTGTTAATGGAGACAAGTTAGTGGAAAAGGGGAGTCATTCTCTACAGCACCAGCATTCTCTATTGCACCAGCATTCTCTATAGCAC